TGGAATTCCGGAGTTACATTATGGTTGGACCAATGAGTCTATGCATACTCCAATCAAAATCGTGTAATGAACTAGACATCTTGTTTGCAAACAACTTGGATTTCAATGTGCAGATTTAAGTCGACTGCAGGATTTGCTAATCATGTGTACCGCCAACTGGGCGTCGACAGATATTTCCAGCAACTAATGAGATCATGTGGTTGGGCTCACTTACTTGGTTGATGCATGTCATCATTTCCCAATTGCGTGGATCGATGCTCATGATGTTAATTACTAGATTGTCTGGCCCAGACTCGATTATGACTGTCGTCATGTAGCTGGAATATTGCTGAGTGCGGCATTAAACAAACAAACAAACAAACAAACTAACAAACAAACATGAAGGTTCAGACTACCAATGACCTGCCACAAAAAATTAATGTCAATTCTTAAATAATAACCGTCCAAATTATTGCATATTGATGAGGTCAATTGAATAATGGACGAGGACCTGGAGAGTGCATACTTATTGACGATATTCTAAAGTACAAATTGTCAATATATTTACCTCAGATAATCACCACCATAAAAGTCTAATTATTGTAACCCTGTAATGTGTTGTCATGGCAACACAGACATGAACAGATGTGGTTAATCAATGATTGTTGTTGATGTGAAGATGCTTTCGTGTGGAATCTTACTTAACCAGTTCTGTAATACTTCTGTCTCCAGATATTCTGTGAACGACGAAACAATACTCTCCAGCTGCATAATGATTTATATAGAGTCCCGGCAGCCATGACTTCTCATGAGGTCCAACAAAACTGGGTACACAATATCTATTTTGCAGCCACTGAAACTGTTCATACAAACCAGTGGGGCCGTGGATGGCCTAGTGGTTAAATTGTTCACTCATCATGCCGATGACCCGGGTTCAGGTCCCTACATGGATGGGGGCACAGGTGGCCCAGTCATCTAAGGTGCTGCGATTCGCTGTGCAGAGTTGTGTCACTTGGGCACGCCAGAAATCTATGATTGTGGGTTCGAATCCCGGTTCTCCCCGATTATGTTTCTAGATTTGTCAGCACCATACCCATGCTTGTGGGTTTCACCGAAGTGGTAAACATCTGAGACCAGCATCACTTCGGGCTTTCCTCCCACATTAAGCTGCCACGCCGTGATATAACGGGAATACTATTAAAAGCGGCATTAATCCCAACTTACTCACTCCCCACATGGGTACAATGTATGAAGCCCATTTCTGGTGTCCCCTGACGTGATATTGCTGGAATATTGCTAAAAGCGGCGAAAAAACAATATTCACTCGCTCACATAGAAAGTGAGCACTGTAATCACCAGCCTTTGAAGTTCACCCTAGGCCGAGACAACGAAATTGTTCTGAGGACAAGTAGTCCTCATGGACTAGTAGCATTTGAGGACTATAATTCTGAGGCAGTTCTCAAAGCTTAGTTTTGCTACAAACTGGAACTGAATAAAACTGACAATGTAAACATAGTAAACATTTTGTCTTGTACAAACAGGACAAGCTACGAACTCTGAGGACTAGTGAAATAAGGTTTCAACTAGTCCTCTTAACTTGTCTCTAAAACACAAATTTCTGAGGCTGTAATACCAAGCCCCAATTTGTAGCACTTTCATTACCCTATATAGTACATGTATGGAGCAGCTTTGGACACAGGGAATGAGTATCGCAGTAAAGCAAAGTTTCTAGTGCAGTACCTGACGTGCAGTTAACCGAGGCAAGGGAGGTAACTGACTGAAAACGTCCATGTTCCAACCTTACCGGAACTATGGAGTGGCTTGACTAACAAGTCTATGCATAGTCCAATCAAAATCATGTAACAAAATTGACATCTGGTTCGTTAACAACATGGATTTCAACTTGCAGATTTCGGTTGACTGTAGGATTTGCAAAGGATGGGTATCAACAGATATTTTCAAAATCTTTACATGTTTTTAATCAAGGTTCTCTTGTGAGATCGGATACCCTTTGAGGTAATACCCGTTATATTACAATATAGATTTTGATCATATATCAGATCATCTTGACTGGGTGCCGCCATTTTGTTTGAAGCGAAATGCAAGTGATATCAGAGGTGGAATCTGATTGGTCAGTAGGACAGAAGGGACTATCGAGCCCAGAAATTCCAGTGTAATTTGGCAGCGATGGAAACTGGACTTTTAGAGTCAGTTAATTCACTTGCCTTGGGAAGATACTGACATGTGAAACAGGCAGTTTGATTGGCTCTCAGTAAGTAACGTATTCCAAAATCCTGCACCTGTTTTTGAAGTTTGAACCCTCTCTTGTCACTGATAGTTGGCAGGGGTCCACTGTTATAAAAACTAGAATTTAAATTGGAATATATGTTCATACAAATATATCATGTTTATGTGTCAGCTGACTTGTTTTATGTCTTATAAAGGTGTGACTCAAATATTAACAATTGGTCTTAGTTCATGCAGAATGTAGGAAGTCATGTGAGCAGTGATATTTTTTCTGTATGTTTAATGGCATTGCAGCAGGGATAGATCTAACAGACAGTTGTATGGGGTCATTCTATTGCATTAGGAATTGTGTGCGAGGCACTTGAGTTTAAATGTTGGTCAGATAAGGTGCGGTTCATGGGTGTTTATGGAGACTTTATGAGACTTGTGATTGCCAAGTGGATGTTAGAGTGTTTGGAGAAGTCATTACAGCATGTTCATGTGACGTCTGGGTATGGTTCAGGTGTTTTTATCTTGGTTATAGGAAAGTGGGGTAGCCTAGTGGTTAAAGCATTTGCTCGTCACACCAAAGACCCGGGTTAGATTCCCCACATTGGTACAATGTGTGAAGCCCATTTCTGGTGCTAAACAACAAACAAACACACACTAAAATAGCATGGACCTAGAATGGTCATGGTTTATAAATCTGCCTCCTTGATAGCGGTACACAGCTCAGCAACTGATTCTGATTGGCTGGTGTGTCTGTCAAGTGGTTGATAAGTCATAATAATCTTAATATCCTTGTTGAGATGTGTCCTGTTTTGCTGTCCAGCTCAGTATAAATGAGGATTTGTTGAGCAAAATCTGTGTCCACTTTTTATGATGTTTCTTGGAAGAGAGTAAACCTGAATATACTTCTAGGAAAGGTCTGAATTAATTAGTTGTGTGACAATGGTGTGCTCATGCAGTAGCACGTGGGGAGTCTATCATTGCCAGGTTACGAGGGAGTGATCGGTAGGCCTACATGATCGCAGCACTGGATGACCTCTGTGAATGACAGCTCTCTTAGAGGGACAATAGGCTAACTGTCTGTGGTGACAGTTCTTGAGCCGATGTAAAAATAATAAATAATTTTAATAGACTGTTTATAAAGCGCAAGACTCCCTTTCATAGGGCTAGGTCATGCTCCAAGCCTTGACATTATATACCCTGGTCAACAAATCTCTGTGTATTCAAATTGCGTTCTCAGCTCCCTGGGGAGAGTATTGTGGAAAGTGTCAGTTAGGCACTAGAAAGTATACATCGTTAATGATGCTTCAAGGTACAGATTCTCTTCAGATGAACAGAGGCTATAACCAATAGAAATACAAAAGCATTACATATATGTAGACTGTTCCAAGTCCCTGTATACCTAATGGTACCTAGGGTTCATTTCTGTAGTACCTGTTCTGTCAACGAGCCCAACAGCGATAGATATCCCATTCTAAGGATTCTGAAGGTGAAACCATAGGTTGGCCTGTCTAAGACATGTGGCTCTGATGATATGGCTAGATAATTTGCTGACCATGGCATTGGGCAACGTTCAATCACATGAATCTGGACCAATCAGTTCAACAAGTGCTGCTATTGAGACGATATTTATGTTGTCATTTTTTTTCATTGTGCCATGCTGTTAACTATAGCATAGATATTTGAGAAGATACAATAGATAGAATCTATAAAAAGGAATTTTATTATCAAGGCACATTTAAAGAGACCATATAAATCGAGAACAGACAAGGGATATAAAATGTGTAATTGAGCGTCTGCCTCTTCAATCAAACCGTAGTGAAGAATCTTGCCAGACTTTTGATATCAAATATGGCAACTGGAGATAAAACTTTCAAACCCTCGGCAACAAGTGTTGATATATTTGATATTAAAAGACATGAGGTTGTCCTGCACCATGACTGTGGAATAAGTTTATTTTATGGAAAAACAAAACAATCTAGAAACGTATAAAAAAAGCAAGTCTAGCCAGCTCTTGCGAGCTCTATTCCAACAGCATAGGGAAAATTATTTTTTATTTTTACAGTCGAGAAGGATATTGTGTAATATAAGATTTCATAAACTAAATGTTAGTCTAGACATGAGGGTGAGATTCTGTTTATCATCCAAATTCATTCTTCCAACCTTTTTAGTTTGTAAACAGTAATAGCCAGTGTCTTGAGTGCAAAAAGTAAGCTTCAGTGGCAGAGAGAATAGTGATGTCATTTGATTGTGATGTCAATGGCTACTTATACTTGTTGTATTATCCTACGAGCTCTCTTGGATTATTTTCATTAAAAACGGGGCTTCAGATTGTCAGTTTATTATTGAGATTATTTTACACTACTCTTATCCATTAAACACGAGAAAACATTTGTCTGTGCTAAAGAAAGGTATTTTTTTTGTTCTCACTAAATAGGTAAACTTCCGAGACCTTCCTCCCTCATGAAGGTGACATGCCATGTTATAACTGGAATACTGTTAAAAGCGGTGCTAAACCCAACTCACTCACTTTAGGTATTCCTTGACTGTTAAGGCATGTTCAATGAGATTATTTTGATCTAATTAAGAAATAGTTATATTGGAGTAGATATGTTATTTACCTGTGAAAGCCATTACACCCAATCATATCTTTAGAGTGCCTGTTTGTCTTGAGCACTGGTATAATTCAATTGACAGGAGAGCTCGAGATGAATAAGTGCCATAACCCAAACAGAGACAAGTGGAAGCCGTGTTGTGTGTGACATTCCTCATTTCCCCTCTTTCAGGTATAGAGGAGCTGAGATAACAAGTGTTAAATCGTACTGTGACCGGTGGACCCACTTCTTGATCGCATGACAATGGGGGCATGAGACCGCGGCCGGGCCTGTGGGCAGTGTTGATCAGACACACAGGGAAGACCGACAAGTTGTGTCAGCTCTCTTGTGCAGCAGACGTCAGGTTTGTGGACGGAGCAGACGGCAGGCTTGTGACTAGAGCAGCAGACGGCGAGATTGGGACTAGTCAGCAAACAGCTTTACAACTCGGAGACGTGGGATTACAGGCGTCATGGACATTGGGGTCTGATTCTTGTACAGAGAAACTAGATATATTGTATGGATACTTGCATTGTTGTATTCACAGGAGTTGCTGTTTATCAGATTGTTTCAGCTTTAGTGGACAAGGCAGGAGACGTTATAGAAAGTGGGATTGTTTCCATGGAAGAAACGTAACGCAGACCGGCTTGCCTGTAGGTGTAGAGGAGATTGACAGACAAAGTTGGAATTCACAGACTGGTGGAAAATTACAAACTAAAAGTAGAAATCTCAAGTTTGTCCAAAGGTTCTTGAATAAAGATCAGTCATTTCTTGTGTGTTCTGGAAGGAACAGATATTGTGGAGGTTTTAAGTCAAGGAGCTGTTTCCACTCATCGGCAGTAATGGCCAAATCCAAGTTTGAGTATGTCAAGCAGTTTGAGCTGGAGGACAAGTGTCTGCAGAACTGCTGGATTGTGATCAGGATAGATGGCAAGGGATTCCACAGGTGAGTTGGCACGGGACTTGTGGGTGAGGGGGATGATGGGAGGTATTCAACAGGTGAGTTGGCACAGGACTTGTGTGTGAGGGGGATGATGGGAGGGATTCTACAGGTGAGTTGGCACGGGACTTGTGTGTGAGGGGGATGATGGGAGGGATTCTACAGGTGAGTTGGCACGGGACTTGTGTGTGAGGGGGATGATGGGAGGGATTCTACAGGTGAGTTGGCACGGGACTTGTGTGTGAGGGGGATGATGGGAGGGATTCTACAGGTGAGTTGGCACGGGACTTGTGTGTGAGGGGGATGATGGGAGGGATTCTACAGGTGAGTTGGCACGGGACTTATGTGTGAGGGGGATGATGGGAGGGATTCTACAGGTGAGTTGGCACGGGAGTTGTGGGTAAGGGGGATGATGCAAGGGATTCCACAGGTGAGTTGGCACGGGAGTTGTGGGTAAGGGGGATGATGCAAGGGATTCTACAGGTGAGTTGGCACGGGACTTGTGGGTGAGGGGGGTGATGTGAGGGGGTGGCGTTGTCAGGACTTGTGGGGAATAAATAGAGGATGAAGTTATTGATAGGGGTGAGGTTATTAGTGTGTGGGGAGGAGGGGGCAGGGGAATTGCTATTTGTTTGGGTATGGTTATAGGTGTGTAGTGGAAATGCTGTGGTTATTGGCATGGGTGGGGCATTACTGTGGGGCTGTGGTATGAGTTGGGTAATTGGTGTGGGGTAGTGGTTGGGTGGACTTTTGGGTGTGGGGTTGTGTTATTGGTATTGGGTATTGGTTTGGGGTAGTGGTATGGGTGGAGTTCTTGGTATGGGTGGGGTTAATGGTGTGGGAGAGTTATGGGGAGTTGAGGTGGGGGGAGGGGTGTTATTGGTGTATGGTACACATAGATGTATGGGTGGGTTATTAGTGTGGTGGTTGTGTGGTATTGGGGTATTGGTGTGGAAAAGAGTTGGTTACACATAGTGGTATTGGGGGGTATTTGGTGTGGGTTAGTGGTGTGGGATAGAGTTATGGGGGAGTTATTGTTGTTGGGTACACATAGTGGTATGGGGGGTATTTGGTGTGGGTTAGTGATATCGGGGTTATTGGTTTGGGGTAGTGGTGTGGGTTGGGTTATTGGTGTGGAGTAAGGGGTGTGGGTGGGGTTATTTTTGTGGGGTAGTGGTTTGGGTGTGGTTATTGGTGTGGGGTAGTGGTGTAGGTGTGGTTATTGGTGTGGGGTAGTGGTGTAGGTGGGGTTATTGGTGTGGTATAGTGGTGTGGGTGGGGGTTATTGGTGTGGTATAGTGATGTGGGTGGGGGTTATTGGTGTGGTATTGTGGTGTGGGTGTGGGTTATTGGTGTGGTATAGTGGTGTGGGTTGGGTTATTGGTGTGGTATAGTGATGTGGGTGGGGGTTATTGGTGTGGTTATAGTGGTGTGGGTGGGGTTTATTGGTGTGGTATAGTGGTGTTGGTTAGTTGTGTGGGTGGAGTTATTGGTGTGGGATAGTTATGTGGGTTAGTTGTGTGGGTGGAGTTATTTGTGTGGTATAATGGTGTGGGTGGGGTTATTGGTGTGGTATAGTGCTGTGGGTGGGGTTATTGGTGTGGTATAGTGGTGTGGGTGGGGTTATTGGTGTGGTATAATGGTGTGGGTGGGGTTATTGGTGTGGTATAGTGGTGTGGGTGGGGTTATTGGTATGGTATAGTGGTGTGGGTTGGGTTATTGGTGTGTGATAGTGGTGTGGGTTAGTTGTGTGGGTGGAGTTATTGGTGTGGGATAATGGTGTGGGTGGGGTTATTGGTGTGGTATAGTGATGTGGGTGGGGGTTATTGGTGTGGTATTGTGGTGTGGGTGTGGGTTATTGGTGTGGTATAGTGGTGTGGGTTGGGTTATTGGTGTGGTATAGTGATGTGGGTGGGGGTTATTGGTGTGGTTATAGTGGTGTGGGTGGGGTTTATTGGTCTGGTATAGTGGTGTGGGTGGGGTTATTGGTGTGGTATAGTGGTGTGGGTGGGGTTATTGGTGTGGTATAGTGATGTGGGTGGGGGTTATTGGTGTGGTATAGTGGTGTGGGTGTGGGTTATTGGTGTGGTATAGTGGTGTGGGTTGGGTTATTGGTGTGGTATAGTGGTGTGGGTGGGGTTATTGGTGTGGTATAGTGATGGGGTTATTGGTGTGGTATAGTGATGTGGGTGGGGGTTATTGGTGTGGTTATAGTGGTGTGGGTGGGGTTTATTGGTGTGGTATAGTGGTGTGGGTGGGGTTATTGGTGTGGTATAGTGGTGTGGGTGGGGATTATTGGTATGGTATAGTGGTGTGGGTGGGGTTATTGGTGTGTGATTAGTGGTGTGGGTTAGTTGTGTGGGTGGAGTTATTGGTGTGGGATAGTTGTGTGGGTTAGTTGTGTGGGTGGAGTTATTGGTGTGGGATAGTGGTGTGGGTGGGGTTATTGGCATAGTATAGTGGTGTGGGTGGGGTTATTGGTGTGGTATAGTGGTGTGGGTGGAGTTATTGGTGTGTGATAGTGGTCTGGGTGGGGCTATTGGCATGGTATAGTGGTGTGGGTGGGGTTATTGGTGTGGTATAGTGGTGTGGGTGGGGATTATTGGTATGGTATAGTGGTGTGGGTGGGGTTATTGGTGTGTGATAGTGGTGTGGGTTAATTGTGTGGGTGGAGTTATTGGTGTGGGATAGTTGTGTGGGTTAGTTGTGTGGGTGGAGTTATTGGTGTGGGATAGTGGTGTGGGTGGGGTTATTGGCATAGTATAGTGGTGTGGGTGGGGTTATTGGTGTGGTATAGTGGTGTGGGTGGAGTTATTGGTGTGTGATAGTGGTCTGGGTGGGGCTATTGGCATGGTATAGTGGTGTGGGTGGGGTTATTGGTGTGGTAGAGTGGTGTGGGTTATTGGCATGGTTTGGGTTACATAGGTAGGTTATTGTTGGGTTCTGGGTACAGACAAAGATTGTTATATTACCAGTTATGGGTGTGAGTTGGGGTGATATGTATGGGTGGGACAATGAGGGAGGGGGTAGTGGGTGGGGTGATGAAAGAGTGGGACATGGGTGGCTGGGGTAGATGTTAGTTTGACACTAAAACACGAACAAGGGATTCACAGGTTAATCTTCTTACTGTGCAAGTTGATCCTGAGTGGGCTTGGTGCAGGTCTGTGGGTGAGTAGGATCAGGAAACATGGCTACCACAGGGAGTACTAAAGCTGACCTCTCAGATACAAGTCAGGAACTCTCTTGTTTAGAATGGACTCATGTGTGTCTCTCATGTCAATGCTGATATCAATTATTTCATGTAGGTTTATCACCTGTGTGATCGTGTATATTAAGTTACCATTTTCTTCCCTAACCAAGCTCACATTTGGAGCAGCTGTACACTGTCACTTAGATTAACATCTAGTCTCCGTAATAAACTATTTTACAAAAAAAACCAATTGTTAAATTATAAAGAAGAAAACTTATGTATGTCAACATTTAAATATTTATCATAATGATGAAGTTGACATCCATAAATTATCTTCCTTATGTGTATTACTCCTAAATATCTTTAAAAGACTTGTTAAAGTATAGTTATGAAATATAATAGCAAGGACTTTCTTTATTATAGACTTCCCTGGGCTGTATTGGATATATTTGTTTCAGGGTCTGTATGACAGAGTAACTGTCACTATGTCAAGGCTGTTACCAGTACAGTCTATTGAAACCAAAGTAGTGTTAACTGATGTCTCCCTGTCTACGTTTGATACCGCATACATACAATATACAGATGAATGGCTGCATTTGGATAACCTCTTAATCATGTTAATAGATACAAGTTCATTCTGAGAGATTTGCCATGTCTACAGCATAGAACTGAACATGCTCTACACTTGGTGATAGGAGACACATGGATGTGTATGCATGTGGTTACAATTGGCTTGACATTCAGATAACGGCTTAGGGTTTATTGCTTCATGTAAATTTCAGTTCATAACATAAAGACTGCTGGGATTATATAGCCAGGGGGATCAATGACCTGTGTACAGGTGTATGCTGTGTGGATTATAGACTACGCATATCCACGCCTTACAATACCAACTAGAATTTCTGATAGATGTCTTACCATAAGGTGCTGGGGAGGGAAGAAGAGTGATGGTTGGGGGAAGTGTGTGTGTGTGTGTGTGTGTGTGGGTGTGTGGGTGTGGGTGTGTGGGTGGGTGTGGGGGGTATTTATGGTGATTGTGGGAACACTTATAAGATCATTTAACAATTTGCAATTTCACAAATTATTATCAAACAAATTTGGAAATAGCGTCCAAGATTATTGCACTTACATAGCGACTTGCATGTACGTGTGTGTGTGTGTGTGGCTGCTTGTACTAGTCCGGACTGATGCCAATTTATAGTGCTAGCTCACTGAGATACCATGCCGCAGTTTAACATGAATACCCCACTCAGGCACAGTATACTGACACTGAGCCGATCAGTCCTTGTGTTAGCCCCTTAATGCCGAGCGCCAGACAGGGTAACAACAAGTACCATCTTTGAACGTCTTTTGGTATGACGCGGCCGGGGATCGAACCCCGGACCTTCCGCTCTCCGGGCGGATGTTCTACCACTAGACCACGGAGGCGGTCTTGTAAATATGAAAAAGATAATTTGAGAATGCTTATTCAGCAAATTGTCAAATTTAAGTAGTAGTAGTAGTAGTAGTAGTAGTAGTAGTAGTAGTAGTAGTAGTAGTAGTAGTAGTAGTAGTAGTAGGAGTAGTAGTAGTAGGAGTAGTAGTAGTAGTAGGAGTAGGAGTAGGAGTAGTAGTAGTAGTAGTATGCCGTCAATGTCAACAATGCTTGTCATAAGAGACAAATAATGGGATCAGGTGGTCAGGCTCGCTGACTTGGTTGATGCATGTCATCGTATCCCAACTGTGTGGATCAATGCTCATTATGTCAATCACTGGATTATCTGGTCCATATTTGATTATTCACAGACCGCTGTCATAGAGCTGCAATATTGCTGCAATATTGCTGACTACGGCATAAACAACAAACAAAGTAATGTAATGTTGTTTGCTTGATGCTATATTTGTGTTTTATAATTTGTCACATTTATTGAAAATAGTGTAGGTGGACAATTAAAAATGAACTTAAGTTATCATTTAGGTCAATAGAAACAATTTGAACTGAAAACATGGAATATTTACAAAAGTTTGCCGCAATTTAGCAATTAGAACTTTGATCTTTGATGTTGTTAGCCATGGTAATGATAAGAATTCAGTATTATAATATTCATTTGTAGTGAAAAACAAACTAATCATACAACAGCATGCATTCATGTGTGAATCATTTAACTGACATTTTAAAAACCTAAGGACATAGTTCATGCCTAAACAAATATTCTGCTGTCTTTAATTTTGGCAATGCCAATCATCTGTAACTACGAGTACAATGTACAATGTAAAATAAGAGAAAAGAAAATACTTGACTGACATATTTACTAACTTCAACTGGATCATACTTGAACACTATGGCAAGACTGTATAAAAATACTACTCAAAAGAAGTTAAGGATCACCAATGTTTTCATATAACTAAAGTTAATGATTATCCATGACAGATTAAACTATAGTAATATGAAAGAATCGGGTTATCCTTAACTTCCTTTGAGTAGTTTATATACCATATGCATGAAATGGAATTGTTCAAGATTTGTTTGCATGACCTTAAACCGGCAAAGTTTTTTAATATTCATAGAGATAAACAAGGTAAATAATATGAGAGGTAGGAGGCTTAATTCCGCATAAAGCATTGGAGTTCTTACCAAGAAAAAGTTAAAGTGTTTAGGAAAGTCAGACAATATTGCCGGTAAGACTGAAATATGATCTCCGATTAAGTGAGGCAGTGTTTGAATCTGTATTCTGAAGTGGTAGAGCAGATATAGTACAAAACACAGGTCAAATCTACAAGTCTTGCACTGGCCTCAAAATTAGGGGAGAATTTTTGTCAACATGGGTTAACGGAGAGATTATCCAAACCACTGAAGTTTGTAGGTTTCTCATAAATATTAAATGGCATGTTTGGCATGGAGCCAGACTTAGACCACTGCTAGAATTACCAGCTGATAGCAGAGTAGTGACAGGGCACACTGAAGCGTTTCAGGAGGACGTCACTATCAGTCGTACTGCCCTACCTGTTGGGTAATAATCCTCGTATCGCCACCCTGATAAAATCCTTGTGTGTGGATTTGAAAACACTGTTGATGAGATTAGTGGTTTGGTATAATGAGTTATTGAAAGCCTATATAAGACTACGACTGTCAGTGTGATTAAAGTACAGTGTTAGCATAGTCCGAATTCCTTTGATTTGGGTATCAAATATTTGAATAGTGATTTTGTTTGAAGTGTATTGATTGAGTTTTGCTCAGGTTTTGCCTGATACAGAAATTCTGAGTATATTCCATGTAATACAACCAGTAAGTACCGCTCTTTATACCTGTGAGCCAAGGAATATAATGTTTTATTATGTTAATAGATACAAGTTCATTCTGAGAGATCGTTGGGATTCCTTCGTTTGTATATTTTCCATAAATTACAGGTCAGATTACCTCTTAATCATAATGTGATAATTTAAGAATCTTGTTCATAAGATAAAGATTATTTGTTAGTTTGTTGTTTAACACTGCACTCAGCAATATTCCAGCCATATGACGGCGGTCTGTAAATAATCGAGTCTGGACCAGACAATCCATTGATTGATATCATGAGCATAGATCCACGCAATTGGGATCAATGACATGCTTCAACCAAGTCAGCGAGCCTGTCCACCCGATCCCGTTAGTCGCCTCCTACGACAAACTTAGTCGCTATTTACGGCAAGCATGGGTTGCTGAAGACCTATTCTACCATAAGATGAAGATACCTGATTGGTTGATATTAATTATGAATATGGTTACGAACAAATAATTCAGTTAACGCGGTTAGGATAAACACATTATCACATAGGGCCATTTTCAATTTGAATATTGTATCATGTGCATTGGTAGATGGAAACTAATGAATTATCAGAACAGAATTAGTGTTGCATATGGAAATAAATGACATAACATGTTTAATGGGTGGATGCACAGTATCTTGTGTATATCTTATGTATAATATTTTTTTTGTAATACTTTTTTTATTCAGGGTTCAGGATACATTGTACACGATATAATGCATATTAATACATTAACTGTTTGCACATCATTTGTAATGTGAGATTGATATTACTAGTGAGAGTAAATGATTTATTACATAATATATATGTATCACATGATGGAATCCCCTTTTTTTATCATAAAAATAACCATTCACACTTCTCATACAAACACCATTTACACGCTTTCACACAGGGACGCCACAAGCACTCTCATACACACACACACACACACACACATTATATTCTCAAAGAGAGATCTCAAATCTCAAGTCAGTGGTTCCAAATGAATAATACGGAAATGTAGACACTAACACATGGGCATACCATAATATACGCATGTACGCAAGCATATATATATATATATATATAAACACATACATATACATATCCTAAAATTCAAAAAGGTTATGGTACATCATCCAGTCTTTGTTAAATTCCAAACTTCTCTTTGTGGACAGAAAGCGTCTTTTCTCTATCTTATAGCGAAGTTTGAGTTCATTCTTTAAAAAATGTATATTCAGTAGTATATTTTGAACTCTACATCTGTAGATAAAGTATTTTGTGAACAGGATGATAAGATCAAACACTTTATCAGTAATAAGATTTTTTTTAAAGCCAAAAATAATAAATTCTGCTGAAAGATTATCTTATGTATATTTTATGTTGATTTTACATGTGACAATTTAATAAACTATATACTACTACTGCTGCTTCTGCTACTATGACAACAACTTCTACTACTTATTAAATACTACTGCTACAGCTTCTAATTATATAACTTTAATTATTTAAGGATGATTTTCAGCAACCCATGCTTGCCGTAAAAGGCGTCTATGCTTGTCGTAAAAGGCGACTAACGGGATCGGGTGGTCAGGCTCGCTGACTTGGTTGATACATGTAATCGATCCGATTTGCGTGGATCAATGCTCATGATGTCAATCACTGATTATTTACAGACCGCCGTCATATAGCTGGAATATTGCTGAGTGAGGAGTTAAACAACAAACAAAAAAAAACAAAAAAATATTTAAGGATGAAGGGATGTTTGGGTAGTTTAATGGTTCAAGAGTTGGCTGACTCTGATGACCAATGTTTGATGCCTGACCTGGGTACAGTGAGTGAATGGGGTGGGTGTTGGAAGGGGGTTCACACTCCCCTTCCCTGGCTCGTCCAGAGTTCTAACGGTTAAGTAGGTACTCTTAGTGTACCAATTTAGATTATTGATTACTGATGTTCCAGTCATGCATTTATATGAATACATTCCACATCAATGATGAAAATAAGCAATGCCTCAGACTTTCCTATTATTTTAATTTATTTTGGAAACAAGTACTGCTCCCCACCTCTCAGTGTCTGGTTGCTAAGAGACAGGAGGCAAAATGAAATGAAAATACAAATGCTGTGAGAGTAAATTTAAGGAATATTTCCTTTGACTTTTTTTAAGCAATTATTTTTCTTGCTTTTGGTATTAATATAAATTGTCTTATCTTATGAGTTGTTATGGTTACTGTTGCTCTTAGTCAAATAGCCTTTCATGTTTTAAAATAATATTCCAGCACTCTCATGACAGGGGATGCCAAGTGGACTTCACAAATCCCCATGAGGGGAGCCTAACATAGCTCTTCAGCATAGCAAAACATAACATGCATAAACCAGGCTACCCCAAGACTGCTAAGACACCAGAAATGAGAGTACAGTAAACTATGTTTATAACGAATTGCTTATAACGAACTGACGGATATAACAAATTGTTATTTCAGTCATGGCCATCGGGTGTATATATGCTGTATATATACTTATAACGAACTACGGTTATAATGAACTAAAATTACTGGTCCCTTTGAGTTCGATATAACCATAGTTTACTGTACTTTGATGAAGGTATAACTTTAGCTGATGAAAGTGGACCGCACAGGCTACATCTGTACAGCATATTGTTATATATAAAGTTATCTATACATGTGATACATACCTATATACATGATATCAAATTGCTACTGCTTAACACTGATTGGTCAACACAAGTCACATGAGCAGCATTGTTATACATACCTATATCATATACTGTAAATCTGGAAATTAATGCGTCTTCAAATTAATACGACGGCTGACCACTAGCCAAAAAAAAGACTCAATATCAGGGCGACTCCCCCACCCCATCCCCAGTGAAATGATACATATTATAACTTTAATTCACTCAAACAGCAAATAGCACTGCTTATTAGCGCTGAGTAGAGCACTTCTGTAAAAATAAGAAACAGTGTTTTCCTAAAAACAACACACAGTTTATATGTTTACTATGTTGACTGGCATTAAGGAAGTTCAAAGGCAATAAAATAATTGAACCAACAACAGTTCACTGATTGGTATGAGGAGAAGGTGTCAAGAAGCTTGACACGAGTGGGTAGAACTCTTGAAGGCAGCAGTGATAACTCACCGGGTGCCCGTTGTGTAATTCCTATTCTTTGAATGACATTGGTATATACTTATTATAACTCCTGCTTATTAAACCGTGTTTGTATTTATATTCAAGTTGGTATTTCTGCTATCTTCAAAGTGTGCAGTGAGGCCATCATATTGTTGATAGTCATTTGGAGACATAAATGCGAAGTTAATTAATGTGAGCAAAGACAACTCGCATTTTTCGCATTTAATTTCAAGAATTATGGTACACGATATCCAAATTGCTTCTGTTCAACACCCATGACATGCTACTTTGAATATCAGCTTGGGTTTCCCAAATATTTGCTTAACTTATGAAATTAATTTAAGAAAACAAGTTGAACTTTGGTAATGGAAGATGGCAAACACTGATGTTGCAGGTTTTCTGACACTCACCATTTTGTCAAACCAAATGATGAGAGGTCACTCGGCCTGATGACCCGAGCAGCCCTGGCTGTGATGGAGGACTTCAAGGATGTTGTCATGGCGTATGGGCAGAGTGACGAATACAGCTTCGTCTTCAAGAAACACACCACTATGTACAACCGACGGGGAAGGTAGGAAGATGTCAGGGATGGGCTGGGGATGGAGGTGGAAGGGTGGGAATGGGGGTGGGATTAAATAAGTGTCACTCAGTAAAATGTTCACACTCACATATGTCTTAGTTCACAGAAGCCTGACTTAAGAACGTTTTGTTGTTTAATCTGGTAATAGGGGCGGTGGGGTAGACTCGTGGTTAAAGCGATTGCTCGTCATGCTGAAGACCTGGGTTCAATTCCCCACATGGGCACACTGTGTGAAGCCCATGGTGTCCCCGACCGGGGATATTGCGGGAATATTCCTAAACATGCTAAAAGCGGTGTAAAACCATACTCACTCACTAATACCCTAATATGGTAACCATCCATGTTAGACACCATTTAGTCTTATGGGATGAAAAATGAGACGAGATCATCTTCATTGAACCTCTTTCCGGGAATTTTCACTCAGACACAGAATACTGACTCCGAGCCAACCAGTCCTTTTGTTTTATTCCCTTAATGTCAAATGTAAGACAGGGTACCATCTTTCAACGTCTCTTGGTATAACGCAGTTTGGGATTGAACACTTGACCTTGGAGGTGATCTATGGAGTCAAGGATGGGGGCATAGGTTTGACCTTTGTATCAGACAGTAGTAACAGGTGGTAGTTACGGGAGGGGCACTGATCATGTTGATCATCGTATCGTCAGGATCTTACAAATAGGGAGGGTTATTGATTTGATTGATCATTGTTTTGCAACATGGTCTTTTTTTCTTTTTCCAGCAAGATAATGACCAATCTAGTCAGCCTGTTCTCTGCTGCATTTGTGATGAACTGGCCTCGGTACTTCGCCACCCAGGAGCTGCAGTACCCACCAGCGTTTGATGCCAGGGTCATCCTGTACCCCAGTGACCAGAATCTCAAGGACTACCTCTCCTGGAGACAAGCAGACTGTGAGTTGGGGCACGTGTATTCTGTGTAACTTCGAGATCTTTGCTGAAAATATAAGACCGGGAAGGATGGAAATTTTAGACCAAAAGAAAAAGTTTATGTTTCAAGCATATTTTCCAAGAGATGCACATAACATATCTCTTGCTGATGTAGATATACTTGAACAGAAGATTCTTAAAAGTATTGTGGTGTATCAGGCTGATTACGATAATGCTCATCAATTATTTGGACCCCAAAGGTAGCGTTGTTTTTTTTTTAAGATGTCCGGACAGAAAAATTTAAATGCCCGGTAAGCAATATTTTAAATCAGACATTTGAGATTCCCAATCGGACATGTCTGGTGCATATGACTGTTTCCAGACCCCTGGTATCAGCGCCTCTGTAGTCTAGTGGTTCATTGCAAGTTTCAAGTTCGATTAACCGAAATATAAAGCCATTCATCGTTTGGTTTTACATTATTCTGCACATTTGCCCAGGTCACATCAACAACTTGTATAACACTGTGTTCTGGAAGCTGGTACAGGAACGCTGCCTTACACCTGCACAATCTCAGGAAAAACTCAAGGTCAGTGTCGTCACCTTTTTGAGCAGTACAGGAAGATTGGGGCAAAGTCTCTAAGAGCAATGAGAACACCTATGTAGCGTTCAAGATATGAAACATTGTCAACATTTGTCAGATGATTTACAATCAGGTGGAGGTAATGCTTCACGTTTGGCTGGTCTGTGGTCTAGCGGTAGAGCGTCTGCCCTGAGAGCGGAAGGTCGGGGGTCTGGGCCCCATTTTTCAAAGTGATCTTAGCACTACGATGATCGTAAGCCTATGTTAAAGTATAGGACTTACGATCACCTTAGTGCTAAGATCGCTTTGAGGAACGGGGCCCTGATCCCAAGCCCAGTCATACCGAAAGACATAAAAGATGGTACTTGTTGTTATCCTGCTTGGTATTAAGGGGATAAAACAAGGACTGATTGGCTCGGTGTCAGCATGCTTTGTCTGAGTGGGGTATTCATGTCAAACTGTGGCATGGCATGGGAAAGCACATATAATCGGCAAACGTCTGGACTAGTACAAGCAGCCACACACATGTGTATGCATGTCGCTATATGAGTGCAACAAGCTTAAACGTGACATTAAACCCCATTTCACATCACCTCACCTCAAGCTTGGCTGAAACCAACCTGAATTGTACAACTGAATAAAAAGGTTGCCTGTTTTCATGATCGCTTGGTGTACAGATATTTGTTTCCAATATTCACAGGGTTGGTTTTCCAAATGATATTTTTATAATAGAAATGATTTGTTTTGCCTCATGAGCGGCAATAATGTTGGTGTTGAAATAATTGTAAGGTAAGAAGAGACTCGGCGGTGAAACATGATTTGACCGACCTGTCACCTGGTTGTGTCTTAATGTGAGTGAGGGAGTAAGAGTTGGGTTTAACTCCGATTTGAACAGTATTCCATTAATATCATGGCAGGTCAGCTTAATATGGGAGGAAAGCCCAAAGTGATGCAGGTCTCAGAGGTTTACAACTTTAGTGAAACACACAAGCATGTTTATGGTGCTGACAAACCTAGAAACATAATCGGGGTGAAATCATAGATTTCTGGCATGTGCAAGGGATGCAACTCTGGGTAGCAAATTGCAGTGCCTTAGATCACAATGTAGATGACTTGGCCACCCGTGCCCTCTTTCTCTTGTTGTACACTGACAGGAGGGAATAGTATCATGTGTCTATTCCTTGAGCTGTCTGGTGCTGGTTGGCTTGATCCTGGCAATTTATATGTAGAGTATAGTAAATGAGGCAGGACAATGTTGCTTGATTCTCCTGGCTGTCTATGTTCCATGATAACAGGACAACATGGCATCGTAGTGCATACACACTACAGGTCTAGGGTGAAGACATGCTCCTTGTATGTAGGTGTTGACTGGCTCTATGTTGCAGGGCACGTTATCGAGTGACAAGAATGAGATTCTGTTCTCAGAGTTCAATATCAACTACAACAACCTGCCAGAGCTCTACAGGAAAGGAACAGTATTAATCAGGAAAAAGGTGAGTTTGGGAACGTGACAGACAGATGTATTCATATGATGGTGAATTCCAAAACAAAATAGGTTCCCAGTACCCCATGCCTGTCCTCCGTGGGAATTCCAAGACAAAATAGGTTCCAAGTACCCTATGCCTGTCCTCTGTGGGAATTCCAAGACGAAATAGACTCCCAGTACCCAATGCCTGTCCTCCGTGGGAATTTCAAGACAAAATAGATTCCCAGTACCCCATGCTCGTCCTCTGTGGAAATTCCAGGGCAAAATAGGTTCCCAGTACCTCATGCAAGTCCTCCGTAGGAATTCCAGGGCAAAATAGGCCCCCAGTACCTCATGCAAGTCCTCCGTAGGAATTCCAGGGCAAAATAGGTCCCCAGTACCTCATGCGAGTCCTCCGTAGGAATTCCAGGGCAAAATAGGTTCCCAGTAGCTCATGCAAGTCCTCCGTAGGAATTCCAGGATGAAACAGGTCCCCAGTAGCCCATGCTGTTCTCAGAAGTATTTCTGGGATTTGATTGGATAGTTACAATGTGTGACCTTGCTAATTCTCTGTTGGACCCAAATCACCGAGATCTTTCTCAAGCACTGGTTTGTCTGGTGCAGACTCAATAATTCACAGGTCACTGTGATGTGGCTGCAGTGTTGCTGACTGTGGCTGAAACATTCACTCTCTCACTGATCCTGGTTGAAACAACACTTGTTCACATGTACTTATATGTGTTCTAATTTCTGTGAGTACTTCCTCTCTATTATATCAATGCCATATTCCAGTAATTTCGTTTGTTATCACACTGTAAAAATATTTTAAAACAGAAGTTCTCTTCACCGTAAGTTGACCCTAATTAGTTATGGATAATAGTTTTCCTCCACCAGTGCTTTTGCTCATGTGCAAGGTGGGAAAATCTCACTTCTTTCTTGTAAATGTATTCTTTATATTATTTGATTATGTTCTTCCCAGGATGAGGTGTGTTCCTCCCCCACAAGGACTCACTCAGGAATGAACTCTCTCAACCACTCCATGTCGAAGCTGTCTACTGGAAAGTACAAGCCACTTGTGACAACACTACACTGTGATATTATAGGGGCCAAATTCTGGGAGGAATACCCTGAAATTCTGGACCCCAAGAAAGGATAACAGGGCATTCACATTTGGATTCACTTGTTTTTTTTGTCATTTTATATGGATATGGATGTTAATATATTTAAACAATACCATACATAAGATGGAAGTAGTCTGGATATTCTGAGCGAGTGTGATGCCTATATCTGTTTTAACGTAGGTGTCAGCACCTATGCGCATGGGTGTGGTGTAGAAAGAGGATCGACTGGCGGTCACAGCAAAGGGACACAACTCTGCACCTTAGACAAGTGGCATCTCTGAACCCTAGAAATTGTCATCTACCTGAATGATAATGATGAAGCAATTGTGATGATATATCTTTTAATGCACAATGGGTGTCAAATGCCAGACAGGTGAACTGTATAGGTTATCCAAGGTGGACTGGACATGTGGAATCGTTCTGGTTCTTCAGCAAGGCCTCTGTTGATGGAAGACACAGACCTCACTGCAGATACAATCCTCACTCACCCAATACACAGGCACTCTGTCATGAGCATTCTGTCAACCATGTATTTGCAGTGGTCAACTCCTGGAGTTCATACGATCATATCCTTCTCAAACAGAGTTAAAAAACACCCACAATTGGAAGGCTGTGAGTTGCAAAAACCCACCAGTAGTAAAGTAGCAAACATCTGCCTCTGAAGAGTCTGGTCTTGTGATTTTTAGTCTTCACCTGTACTTTCACTGCAAGTTTTGTTCAGCAAGGGTCTTTGTAAGTGACGTTTGGATCTTGGAAAGCAACTATTCAGTGTTTGAATAATTGTTTCAATAAATACTTAATTTTTCTGAGTTGTAAAATAATGGTGGGTATACATCAATCCACACTTTAATTATTCAATATTTACCTAACTGACATGTCACCTGAACTTTTTTTTTAAATGTCTACACATTCTCTGAACCTTGGTGGTCCTGTGGTTGTGAAGAGAGAGCAACCTTAATATTGCCAATTACTTTGATCTATGAACACAGGTGATGAACATTTGAAGCCCCATGTTATTCAGTAATGCATTATCACTGAAACACAGGAGTGTTGAGTGCCCAGTGTCTGTCTTGACAGTCCTCAGTCATACACATTTGCTCACAGCCATTGAGTAGCTACATTATACTACTCAACTTTTCATAGGAATAATCAAATATGTCGTTCTATTTAAATATAGGATGTATACATTCTTACGAAATAAACATCCTATTTAAATATACACTTGACATGTGAGAATCATTTTTGTGCATCATGGTAAAATAAAAAAATCCCTATTCAAAGTGGAGTAGTATATATAATTATATCCACTGTAGGCAATGAAACAAAAGATCCTGCCATTAAGGTTGGTGAAATAGTTTCATTAAAATTTGCAGCATTCTTTGATTTGGAGAATCATACACTTGCATCCTGGTCAGGTAATGAACAAAGTTGGCTGGGTTGTCTCCCTTTAATGTGGCAGCCATTGCTGGCTGAACGCAATGACCAACAAACACTTCCACTTTGTTTACATTTATTGTGCTTTCTTGTAAAACTGCAATAATACAGTGATGTGTTTGCTTTAGACATGTAAAGCAAATTATGATCATGTACATCTGTACAGCATATTGTTATATACAAAGTTACCTATACATGTGATACATACCTATATACATGATATTCAAATTGCTACTGCTCAACTGATTGGTCAACACAAGTCATATGAGCAGCATTTGAACCAATGAACAATGGCAAGTGACAGTCCATGGTGTATGGACCTGTTCATATTATTGCTACAGCCACTATCCATTATTAACCTCAAACATAGACACTGCTTCACGTGCATATGAGGTCATATTTCTGAATAAAGGGTATAGAAGAGGAATTGTGTTTTGATCATAATGTAAATAAGTACTCATAATTAATAGTACACAATGGATGTAGACAGGTCTGATCCCAGTGAAATGTTTGGATAAACAAATCATGGATTATTGTCCATTTTTTATACGCCTTACCTAAAAGGGGCGTGGGGGTGGGGGTGGGGGTGGGGGTGGGGGTGGGTATATAGTTATACCAAGGAATTCCTTCCTTCTTAGGAAATGTTTATGTGTGACCTATAACTTGAAAACTACTTCATAGATTCTTTTCACATTTGGTGAACACTTTTTAAACCTACAGGAGGGATGTAATGCTTAGTTTGATTTTAATATTTGGATTTTCTGAAGAATTATAGCGTGTTTCATTTTACTTCATTTACTTTGAAATTTGTGGGACCTATAACTTAAAAACCTCTCCATGGATTCTTTTCAATTGGGGGTACAGTTTCTATACCAATAGGAAAGATGCAGTGCAAAGTTTCTGAGAAAATATTGCTTTTTCCATGTTTTGAACTTAGAAATATGTTTGGAGTCGAAGTTGTCTGGTTCATACAGTGAAACCCATTAGCCTGGACTCCAGAATCAAAACACCCTGCTTCCTGGACAGCTTAAGTTGGGAATGTCCATCTTTAGGATTCTAAAGTGTTCTTGACTTAAAAATTGGGGATGAAAATGAAAATAAAAAGGAGTTCTTTAACTTCTTTCGAGTAGTATATAAGTTTGTTAATTACATCACTAAAAATTGAGGTGCCTGATTTCCCGTTGAACAATCCTCCTCCAACATAACATTTAGTTATTATGGACGTAGTTATAGTATTATCTATAGTGTGGGTGACAGCAAGGCAAATAGAAATTAAGAACAAAAGCCATTACTCAAAACATAAAATATCACTTTGACGGTTTGATTGTCACAATTTTTTCCAGTGAATTTGAACTAAGTGCTCACTTCGAAAATGTGTTGAGACAACGTAGAGTCACACGCCATTAGAAAACAAACTGTATCTATGGGACAAGAAACTTGCTTGTTCAAAGAAAAGTATTCATTTTGCATAAGGTATGTAGCATGTGGAAATTGTGGCAAACATTCACACAAGCAGTAACTGCATAGCCATACATAACTAATGGAAGATCTCTACCAAGGCCACACAACAATCAACACGACTGATACATTCTTGGCAAGGTTTTTTAAAAGTTGAGACCAATCTATTATGGCTGTCTGGACAAAATAATGACAAACATATAGCATCTTAACATCTTACCTATGGAAATGATAAACAGCTTGATTGAATAATAATATCTATATTATCTACAAAAGCTTCCTGAACGGAAAGCTAAGTTCCCCTTCTGCAAATGGGTAACTTACCCAATGAAGAGTTGCATGTAGGTTTCATAAGAAAAGTAATTATGTAATGCCATGGACAAAGAAGACAAGCCTCCTTGATCATCTGCCATAACATACATAAACTGCCCTCTGAATGTGAATCACTGTCATTATCCTGATGATAAAAGATCTCGCACAGATTATCAAAGTTATGTACTTGTAGCTGAAAGGTATGGTGTAAAAAGGGACCTAGCATCTGATATTCTGAGGTTTTGTATGGAGACTGGATATATTTTCTGCAAGAACTTCGAAACCAAATATTATTAAAACGATGAGCCATAATATTTTGTTTTAAAAGCAAATTGCAAAAAAAGAAAAAGATATGCAACTCCCAGGGCTGCTCAGGTGCCTATTTCAGAGTCAATGTTATTATACATCTAAAGCCTCAAGCAATTAAATTATTTGAGGTGCCTATTTAAATATGTTCTTGCCAATAGTTTTTTGTTGAGGCCACAGACTCTTCATTAAGACTTTCCAGCATGGTTAAAGCTGGTTTCCACAGATACAATGGCAATTGTTGTGGATAAATTTAGCTAAACTGAGCGTTATACGTATCTCTATCTGAAGTAGACTAATATGTTCACTGTTCATGAACTAAACTGACTTCCTATATGCATATGGGTTCGACACTTGATGATACAATCTGTTACAATGATGAAGAAACAAGCAGATGAATCTACCTGCAAACAGATTCTGTGGAGATGCTAGAGTGCTGGGTAAGCAGACCCTGTCAACCAATGGATACCTGTCCACACAGAGAAAGGCACATCCATAGAAATCAAATACATAATGAAAGTAGTAGTGGGACAATACACCGATGCATCGGTGGATGGCAATTTTTTTGCTAATATCGTTCACAATCGCATACAAAGTAAAAAGTATCAATTCTTACTTTAAATGTATTCATTAAATGTTACACCAAACACTAATTACTAGTGAAAATAAGTAGTGAAAACGTAAATATTTTCGTCCGTGCCACAATTGACACTACCAACTGTAAATCGTTAGTGTGCCAGGTATTTGGCCATCCTGTCTATAAAAAAGATGGCTTACGCACAACAGATAAGAGCACATGCAAGTATCGTGATACGTATGGGATGATGAGGAAGATATTGATATCGTATCTGATCGCACAGTTTGTGTATCGTCCCAGCCCTAAATGAAATCATACTAAGATACCAAGAAAACAAATATACTACTAAAAAAATGTTAAGGAACACCTTATTTTTTCATATGACAATATAATCTGTCATGGCTGGTGTGCATTGCAACAAAAGCCTTCCAATTGTGGGTGTTCTTTAACTTCTTTTGACTTGTATATAATTCAATATTCACAATCAATGACCTAGTACAAATGTTTGTTTCATTTGTATTTCAGTGATCAGTGTAGCTTATGCTAAGTGGTACATTTGTGCATGCTGCATGGAAGATCAAGGTCACAATCTTGTAATGATCATTTGTTCATGGGCAAGTCACATGTTAAAGTCCACTTGTCCAGGGCAAATTATCCAGATATTGTATCAACTAACGGCTAGAAAGATACTCACAGGCATGCTAACTACTGGCAAGACCATCCTAGATATGGAGGTGGGGTTTACTCAAAGGAAGTAGGAAGTACACTGGTGTTGCCCTTGATCACCGATTATGCCTTCATTGAGATGATGAAGTACAAATACAAATGCTGCAACCATTGGCTGGGCACTTAGCATGCTTAGCAACAAATGAACATACACCACCGTGGTCTGGGCTGAAGTGAATTACAAGAGCACAAACATACTTCTAGGTAAATAACAAGACCTCCTGAATCACAAACCCAGTTATAACATTTTACCAAGTACTCTGAAATAGCATTTATCCAGAGCCAGCAAATTCATATGGTTCATCTTTAAAATACAGATACTTTCACTTAATCAGCTTATTGTCAGTATTTATTTATACTTTTGTTAAGGTCAAAGCAAAACACAAACAAAACAAAACTCATTTGGTGTGGCCAGGTGGACGTTATTTCTGTTTGACAAAATATAAATATTTCCAATAATAAGCAATAAAATATAATAAAAAATGCAGGCATAACAAGACTTGTATACTTTGTAGGAGTCAATACAATAATGTTTTACAAAAGAATACAAAGGAATACATCATTATTATCAGTTATATTGGTGCTATCACATAATAATACTGAAACAGAATATCATTCTCCTGTTATTCATCCAGGCATGATGGCAGGTGCTTGCTTTCTTCACTGGTACATTTCACAAAATCACTTGTACCAATGTTTAATGACTTACATTAACAACCTATTACCATGAACACTGGTCAAAATATTAATCATACATAGTGTCTTTCATGTTGTTGAGGTTAACAGCAGATCAGTGCTTTGGGAACATACAGCCATGGATAGGTTTTTTTATGAATATGAATTCTCTAGGACAGTGTTCAGCTAAAACTTAAATATCCATGTAGCAATGCCAAGAAAATATGTGTATGTTGCAAAATTAACTTATTTCATCTTTAATCAAGTGACCCGCCATGACCAGCAAGGCAAACCAAACAACTGAAAGTGTGTTTCAGTGGGTGATTGTTTGTAATTCTGTGTCCATAAGGACCGATAATTATCAGGTAACAATATGAAGATGACTTATCTGGGAATTTCAGAGACATCTTTCAGAAGCAAGAAAAGGCTAATGACAAATGCTACAATGTTCTTGTTCCAGACACTTTCTGCATCCGTAACTGCTTGACAGAAAATAACTTTGTCCTTAAGACGAAAACAACACAACAATTTTTACATCTGGTAAAAAAATGATTTACAATAAAGATCCCCAAACCACTACTTTTCTAAAGCCACTGCTTGAGAACCTGTCATTCTTTGTTCCTCCCAAGTTTTACAATTGTAGAAATATCGTACAAGGTTTCAAACACTCACACTCTCCCAAAAAATTGAAAACTGTATAAATCTTCACCATTCCGAAAATATATTATGGCATTAAATAGCGGCCTTCTGCCTGCATGCAAGGGCTGTTGCAGCACACCGGCATACACATAGTAGCTATCTGTAGAGGCAAACAAAATGTCAACATGACCATGATGCTTGTCTTGATCTCATTTCGGACTCATGGTCTATGTATCACAAATACTGGTAGACACAGATGTGTTGAACATGCCTTTGTGAAAAATGGGGGCCACGGACAGCTGCAAGGGGTATTCCCAGTATCTGTGACAGGTAGGACAGATGCAGAATGCACACAGCTAGAATGTGCATGATTCTCTTAATGACCCCTGTCACCCCTGCAGAAATGTGGACTGTGCCACTTACTCATGTAAATTGGGTCACAAAGCAGGTCTCATTATCTGTGTCTTTACCAGAATATTTTGAGATTGTCACCATTTCCCGGGTTAGCAGACTAGTGACCATGTCTAACCCTTCATAATATAGTACAGTCTGTGTCTTGTAAAATTCTGTTGGTCCAAGTTAATACTACTCCATATGATAACACTAAACTCTACTGAAAATGATGCTTAGAGCCATATTTGGGCGAATACGCTCAAAAGTCTTTAAAACAGAGTGTAACATAGTAGAAAGTGTTATAATCAAATCTATATGCAGGACCTGCAACAGCCCAAATGTATGTCAGAGAGGAAGGTGGTTCTCCTTACATTTGTCTCTGTACCACATTCTTGTATCAAGGTAACCAGACTTAAATACTTCTTCAATATTGCACAAAGCTATTCCTGTAACGTCCAGAAGAGAAATAAGAGCTTGTCAAAGATGACCAATTGAGAGATATATCACCTCCTGATAATAGGCCATTAAATAAAGTCACACATGACAGTCTCAAAGAAAACAACAACATGGTTTAATGGTGTAATGACAATTCCAATATCCAAAGCACTGTACTAATCTACGAATCGTCAAGCTTCATAAGCAGTATTTGTTCAGGATAATATGTAGGCATACATCCACACAGCATGGTGGGTGACTTCATGACTTAGAATGCAGAACAAAGAAAACCCACTCTAGCTCTCGACATGCTCATCTTTCATAGATGAATCAGGTTACCATGCTGTACATTGAAATCTCGGACTCAAACACAAACAGGTGTGTTCTGGCGGGTAAGACACACTGCATGTGCATCAGGGAAATTATGAAAGACTTGACGAGAAAGTTTGATCACAGCATGGCACTTTGAGTTGTGGGAATGAATCTCGAGTAAATAGCACATCTTGAGAAAGCTGTCCCAAGATCCGGCCCCTCAGCACCAGTGACTCCATCACAAATGACTTGATCGTAGCCTCCACAAACAGTGTTCAGTAGATCCACATACTGGGCATCCACCAGTATCACGGGTCTGGTAATTATCAGGAACCTCTTCTACAATTTTCCATCTCAACATAAGTCTAATTAATATTCCTTTAACCGATGACGAGTGACATCTATCAATTCCTATTGCCGGGTCATAATGTAGCTCTGACAGAGTGTGGACAGGTTTGGTACGACTCTTATAGTACCATTTTGTGCAAATTCTGATTGCTTTGGATAATTAAATCCAATTAGTCCACAGCTCAACTTCTGGTTTACATAAACAGATGTTCCTTCAAGATGTTCTCAAGTCTCGAGGCTACAAGACTAGTGTCCGTGTCGAAAACTGTTGGTGAAACTGCACAGGCAGTTATCAGTTCCAGGTGTGTCAATCATCACAATATCAAGACTCAACAAAACAACTGGGATGTCCTGGTCACACACTCCTCAAGCCATGAAACCAAGTTCTTTACAATGCCCTTCAGATGCGAACAACGAGGAAGCTTCTGAGCGTCCTCAAAACCTTGTCAATGTACTCTGGTAAACCCTGCTGGAATGGGGACTACTCCCCCTGCTATCTCACGCAGGTGTCTCTGTCACCATCAGACTCCTCCTTGGAAACGAGCACTACATCAACTAGACCTGAGGTGTGGTGCCATTCTCCAACCCTTTCAGCTGTTTCAGTACTGTCTCTACCAGCTTCTTCTTGTCTCTCTCGTTCCTCTTCAGCGATGCAAACAAGTTGTTCTTCTTCTTGTCAGCATTATTCAGCCTGAATGAGACAAAGGGGGGAATATTAAAGTTATTGATTGCAATGCGAAGCAAATTTGGTTCTTATTCCATAGCTCTTGTAATTAATAACAAAACATTTAAAGTTTGTCACTGCACTTTCTGCATCAAGTAGATCTTACAATCTGCTCTAGCACCTCTCTTCCCCTCTATTGTCCATGGTGAGTGAGTGACTATGGTTTTAAGCCCCTTTTAGCAATATTCCAGCAATATCATGGCGGCGGACACCAGAAATGGGCTTCACACATTGTACCCATGTTGGGAATAGAACCAATCTGCATAAGTGTACTGATTAAACCTACTTTTCCAGCAAGCTGATTGCAACAAGTCGCTGGACGCGGAGGTACTTTGACTGCTGTTTGCCATAGTCTGCCAGGTACAAAGACCAGTCCCAGTTTAAAAACAGATCTAAAAGCTGAAACATAAGAACACATTCACTAGCTTTATCCAGTAGCTTAAACTTAAACAACTAATATTACACCAGGAAATATTACAACTAATGTTCTCATCACCTCAATGCCTTGATAACCCTGATAAAGAAATGATACCTTCAGAAACAGTAAAATACCAGTTTTATATAAAATATATATGTATTATTCATATCTTCTCCTTGTTGGCACTCTCAGAGTAGGGATTGATCAGTATTACAATACTTCATGGCATGTAAATTTAGGCCGAAATTCTGGCTTGTCTTAGACATTAAACACTCAGCTTGGAGTGAGTGAGTAGATTGGGTTCTTGCTGTTTTGAACAGTATTTCAGGTACATAATGGCACCTCACCTCAATGTGGGTGCAAAACCTAAAGTGTTACAGAACCTAGGTGTAAACACTTTGGTGAAACTGCTGACAAAACAAGAATCATAAGTAGCTTAAAAAGGTTCATATGCTTCTGCCCTGTGGAAGGGACACAACTCTGCACAATGACTGGGAGCATTATGGGAGCCATGTCCCTAGGAGATGAAGATCTACACAGAGATCTTGGAATTTCAAAACAAGAACAATCAGGTCATGGAAACCATGAGCCACATCTCTCCACATCTAGTTCCAGCAGCTTGAGGATGAGAATGTCAAGTTGAGGGTGCATAAATCATAACAAGCCTAACTAAATCGCTTACCTGCCGGAGATCAGCAAAGGCCATTTGTAGAGTGCCATCATTAGAACCAGGGACTGGCTCTGAGGCTGCAAATTCTGAAATGAGTTTTCATAGTAGTTAGTGAGTTGATCAACCTTAACAATTTGGTTTTTTTAAAGCCTAGTCCAGAGGACTATTGTAACCTTATTTCACTTATCCTCAGTGTTTGTAGCTGGTCCTGCTAAAACAAGACAAAAATATTTACCATGTTTACTATGTTTACAGTTTCTGTCAGTTTTGTTCATTTCCAACTTATTACAAAATTGAAGCACTGAGAACTGGTGCTGACTTACAGCTTCAAATGCTACTACCCCATTCCAGAAAGCGATGCAATTAGGCTACATAGTCTTACAATTAGCGCTGAGATGGCATTGTCGAACAGAGCCCAGTAACATCAATTTACTCTGTTGTTGAAAATCAGCTAACCATGCTCAAGTAGGTCACCCATGAATAAAACTTGGGTTTTGATATATAAGGACGGAATGTGTTTTATGTCTACATTAGGACCCCAAAACATCCCTTTTCAAACACAACAGGTTGTTTTATGGTTATGACTCACGTTCACACTGCATAAGGTCAAGATTAAACTGCTGGAGCGAGCCGAGGGTGAGTTGTCGGATGTCGTTATCCAACAGGAAGCCCATCATGGTGCCGGCAATGTGTTGACAGGCTGACATACACGCCGTCTTCGCCACCTTCTCCTGTAAACATGCGTACATCGGACACTTGAAACATAGTTTAACATATCTTATGCAGACATCAGAAACATAATGTCTTTTGTAACATTGCACATACTGTCTAACAAAACATCACATTGGACAAATCATGCACAAACATTCAAATTTCAGTACAATTACATGGATGATCTTTTCTGTTGGTGCTAACACTAATAATGTAATATTACCCTTTATTCACTGGGAAAAGACACACCAAAATGATTATAGTGACGGTAAACATGTATCAGCCATATATGTGTGCCTTCTGATCAACCCATGATGAAACATATATTAATCATGTTACTGTAGACCCTACCAAGCATTGATAGATTAGAAAAAACAGTTACATAAAATCCAAATCGCTAAAAATAACTTATTAAAACATTATAAACAGGGAAGTTCTTTAGCTGCCTCTTTGACACCTTCTTGTCTAGATGTTTGTTCATTGTTAGTCAAGAAAGGGAGAGGTTGTTTAACACTACACTCAGCAATATTCCAGCTATAGTCTGTAAATAATAAACATCATGAGCATCTACTTATGCAGTTGTGATACAATGACATGCATCGACCACATTAGCAAGCAAGACCACCCAAACCCGTTTGTCACCTCTTAAGACAAGAATGGCTTGCTGAAGACCAATTCTAACCTGGATTTTCATGGGGATGCAAAGAGCCACTGAATGCTAAATAATTCAGTGAAACCCAGTTAATCCAGACAGTACCAAGAGAAGAGGCTGGATAACCGAATTTCCATAATAACAAATCATAGAGTAGTGTCCCTTGGTTTCTGGACAAACAGGGTGTGGACAAACAGGGTTTCACTGTAAACCAAATAATCATAATCAGGGATAAGAATGTTTTTTTAATGAAAGTTAGCACCGGATTCGGGGGGACTATATATGATTTATGTAAATATTGTAATGGCACTATAAAAAGTGACCCTTGACATAATAAAATCCAAGGAATTCTGCAGATCCGCAGAAAATTCTCATCTCTGCACAATACAGAATTCTGAAAGTCTTGTCAATAGTTACATCCCAGTCAACAATCAAACATCTTCAATGTTATATGTAGAAAAAGATGATGAAAAGTTACGAAACATGAAGTAAATTGAAATCATAAAAATGTGGTTACAATTGCCATTCACTCATGCAAACAAAGTGTTTTGTCAACTAAATGCCAAAAAAAAAGAATGAGAGCAAATAATTAAACAAATACATTTTATGGAACAACCATGATATTAATGATTATTTCTTTTCATAGTAAAAAAGGGATTTATTTCTCCATCTTTCTATATCACAGAATGTCAAGACATTGTTTTGATCCTGTTTATCAAACTGTAAGTAGGAATACAAAACACAAACTTAGGGCTTATCAGTCAAAAGACATTTAGAGTTATCTGTCCAAAATCTGTGACCAAACCAGGTATGAGGTTGAAAAAATGACTCAGCAAGTTACTAGGCCTAATGTACAGCAGTTTTTTATCAAGATGATTAACATACCAGTAGCCTTGTTATCTCTTTCATGGTTACATGACAATGTTACTCTAACAGTCTACACAAACTGTCAAATCTACAGCACTATTGATACACACATAAATATACAGGGGCAAAACGATTTAGTAATGGTTTGGGGCATTGCAATACAATTAAAATCAGATCTTTTACTCCGATACAATGCTTAGATCAAGAAGTGAGGATGACTCCATAGAAGGTTCCTGATCCAAGCACATCTCAGCTTTCTAAAACGATTGGCTTCATTTCTTTACCACATCGATCCAGAAATTTTGATTTGTACAGAGCTACACAGAACCCAATATTCCTTTGATCTCCCTTTTGGGTGTAGATGCCATGTTGCTCAGAAACGAAGGGTATAACATATCTCCAACAGTATTATGGGATGACATTATTTTTGGGCAGTCTGAAGTCCCACATCTTCTCAAGGCCACAGAGTTAACTGACAATAAAAGTACAGTTTCCACCTTTGCCGAACTAGGCTGGTATTATGGAGTTATATTTTGGCGGGACTAACGAGTCTATGCAAACTCCAATCTAAATCCCACAACGAAATCGAAATCCGGGTTCGTAAACTGTCATGCAGATTTCGGTCAACTGCAGGATTTGCAAAACATGTGCTTCGCCAACTCGTCAACAGATATTTTCCAACTCTTTTCATCTTTTTAATCAAGGAGCTCACATGATTTGATGCACTTCGCAATGTAAGGCCCGTTTTATCACAATATAGATCTTGATTATCGATCAGATTGTCTTGACTTGGTGCTGAAGTTTTGTTTGAAGCAAATGCATGTGATACGAGAGGTGGAATCTGATTGGTCCATAAGAGAGGTTTAGAAGGGACATAACTCGTAATAGACACAGGTGGCGCTATGATTGAACTCAGGAATTCCAGCCTAGTTCAGCAAAAACTAGACTTTTAAAGTCAGTCAACTCTCTTGCCTCAGGAAGATGGAAGTCCCACAGCATATCTGTTTTCAAGATACCGAAATCAGATATGCTTGTCTGGATGTTTTGCTCACCCGTACAGCAAAGTTAGAAGCCTTGAAGCTGATTGGATGATTAGAAAGTTCACCTGACATGACCTCCTATGGAGGTGTCCTCACAACTTCACAAAGGATAGTATTGTATCTGGAGTAAAAGATCTGATATAAATGAGATTGCATTGTGATACCTGGTTTTGGTTTGGTTTGGTTTCTGTTATAGTTAGATTATGGAATAAATCTGAACGTCAAACATGGCAAGTGTCAAGTTTTCATGTATCTACCATGTTGTCTACTGTGCAGGTACTATCTGTGAATGTACCATATTACAACAAAGTTTATCTCCACAGCCATATGAAAATGTGAATTTGCAAATAAAAATATAGAATTGACTGAATTCACAAATGACCCATGAACACATTATCAACAAGGGAGGCAACAGGTAGACCATTTTGTTCACTGAAGGCAAATGAGTGAGTGAGTATGTTTTTACACTGCTTTTAGCAATATTCAAGCAATATCATGGCGGGGAAGACCAGAAATGGGCTTCACACATAGTACCCATGTGGGGAATTGAACCCTGGTCTTTGGCATGACGAGTAAACGCTTTAACCACTAGACTACCCCACTGCCTCTAAAGGCAAATGAAGCATGTCTGTCCAACACAGGAAATTGTAGTAACAATCTGATAGAATAATAGTACATGATAGACAATTGTACTGTTTAAATTGTCACTGATAATTCTTACACATCTACGAATGTCACATGGGAAATCAGTTGCAACAGCCTTTTGAGTGATATAGTAAGTGGAATAATCATTGGTATTCCTTTCAATTCATCAAGTATGAAATATCTTAGTATATCCAACAAAAAATGAGTACCTGGATATATAGAAAACAGGATGGACTGATATATTGATATCCTCTGCAAAAGCAGCAATACAAGTGGGAAGGGATAAACTTGGGAAGTGTGATCATAGCGGACTGTTTCTTGCAACTGTCAGCAGTACATGATAGGATTACCATTTGTGTTTGTGAAATAACATTACAGATACACATAAGCCAGTTAAATTAAGATTACAAACCATTATGAACTATCACGCTGAACTATCAGGCAATAAAAAAGTATTGATTAGATTTTTATCCAAACTGAGGGACAGTAGGCATTTTATTTTTATCTTAATTTTATGTTAAACAAAGTGTTCAGTTACCTGTATATTAACTGTTGACATGAATGATTTATGTGAAGCATTAATGCTTGGTACGGGTATATATGTGGTGTCTTTCATGAAGCAAAGGAACACGGCAACTCACATAGTGATTTCTTTGTCTGGAAGCACTTGGGGACAATACAATGATGTGTGATGGGGTGTTTGGATGTGAGGCAGGCAAGTATGAAAATCTGATGAATAATTGATAATGGCCTTACCAATGAAGGTTTATGTTAGAATAACTGAAATTTGCCAGAAGTATTTCCAAATTCACCATTTGGTCTCTATTTTCTATTAGCAGTTTAAGGATAGTGATAAGTATTTTCAGAATTGCAATTTTTTTTATTTGCTTGTGGTGTAATCCTGTGGGTAAACAATACACCATCATAAGAATTGTTTATGTTTTATAAATATTACATATATATATATATTCATATATTAATTTAATCGCACACTGCCACATACATTTTTTAGGGGGAAGAAATTAGTGTGCAAAGGGTAATGATGATATTGAGAGAAGTGCCACTTACCCAGGTTCGGAATGAAGAAATTTGATATATAGTCCCACTAGGCTGTGTTTCAAACAAGATTGAGTGGGTGAGTCTTGAGCAGAAGGTGAGGTGTGGTGAATGGGGTTTAACTTCATGTTCAAGATTATTGCACTTTTACAGCATTGTGTTGTGTTGTGTTGTGTTGTGTGTGTCTGCTTCTACTTGTCCGGATTAATGCCAGTTTCATAGTGCTAGCCCTCTGAGATTCACTGTCGCAGTTTAACATAGATATCTCTACCCCACTCAGACACAGTATACTGACTCCTAGCAGACCACTCTTTGTTAAAACCCCTTAATGTTCAGCACCAGGAAGGGTAACAACAAGTACCATTTTTTAATGCATTTTATAACTATGCGGCCGGGAATCGAACCATCGACCTTCTGCTTTCAAGGCAGACTGAATCCACGAGATCATGGATGTGGTCTCTTCAGCAATATTTCAGTTATATCATATTGTCAGCTTAATGTTGGAGAAAAGTGAGTGATTGGGGCTTAGTGGAGATTTGAACAGGATTCCAGTTTAATCACTGCATGTCAGTTTAATGTGGGAGGAAGGGCTGAAGGGATGCAGGTCTCCGACATTTACCATTTTGGTGAAACCTGCATCATCATAAGGACTAATGACCAAAATGAGTTAATCTCTTACTTCCTACTGGCACTGCTGGTAATTGACTGACCTCTAACACAAAGACAAAATCTAAATTTTCACAATTTCAGTGAACGTTTTATCGTCATCAGGTATGGATAACAGTGGCTCGTGAAACAAAAACTAATACTAATAGATATTACCTATCCAGAAAATCAACACCAATAAAAATTACTATTTTAATTTAACATGAAATAAACAATAAAAAGGTTTCATCCACTAAAGAACTATTTGAAGGATAATCCAATGATTAATTTCATTGTGGCCTGACTTGGTCACAATGGCAGATAGTGGACAGTGTTGGCTATGTCTGTTATCAGACCCTGGGCCCATGCCCTCGTAGGGAGGAGGGAGATCATCCTGGGTCCTAGAGGTACTGCACGACACAGGGAGGGCCGTGTGAAAACAAGTGATCATGCAGACATGGAGGTTTTGCAAATCTGATTTCTGGGTACTAAATTCTAAGGGAAATGATGCAAGCATGCTCTCATGCTTCAAAGATACACGTTGGACTCAGAAACATGGCAGGGCCCTGTTCCACAAGGTGATCGTAGCACTACAACTGTATGTCAATGTTAAAGTATGAGAGTTACGATCACCTTTGCCCTGCAATCACTTTGTGGAACGGGGCCCAGGTCTCTAATCCGTGGCAGACTGTAGAATTATATTGCATGTCATTCATACATTGGGATCCCCACTTGGGAGCCGAGGGGTTGTACATTGTTGAAGGGTTATAGTGAGAAACAAAAGCGAACTTCTATATTGTTCATCAGTTTTGTGGATGACCTAAAGTCTGATACTGATAGCATAATAACAAGACTAACTTGCATACGTCAGTACAGCTTTGTTGAAACTCTCATTTTGGTGCTATGTGCTGGTGGTAATGTATTTGCCTTAGCGAAAAACCCATCAAACTCATTCTTTGCATGTATTATGAGCTGTATACACTGCTGTATGTTGGGAAAAGAGTGAGTGAGTTGGGTTTAACGCCGCTTTTAACAGTATTCCAGTTATATCACAGCGTGTCAGCTTAATGTGGGAGGAAAGCCCGAAGTGATGCAGGTCTCAGACGTTTACCACTTCGGTGAAACCCACGAGCACGGGTATGGTGCTGACAAACCTAGAAACATAATCAGGGCGAACCGGGATTCGAAACCCACAATCATAGGTTTCTGGCGTGCCCAAGGGATGCAACTCTGCAGTGCGAATCGCGGCGCCTTAGACGACTGGGCCACCCGTGCCCCCTGTTGGGAAAAGAAGTGTGCATTATACATCCGGGTGAATGTATGGAATCTAACACATTAAGTATGCCACCGATGAGAGAATCAGCCATGGATCAGGGCCCCGTTCCACTCAGTGATCATAGCGCTAAGGTTATCACAACACCCATTCTTTAACAGGGGCTTAGACATCAGTAGAACCAGACAGCTCTGTGGAAAGGGGCCCAGAGTCTTACATATATATCCGGATTTACCTCTAAAATGTATCTACATCTAACATGTCTAACCTATACAACATTCTGTGATCGACTACGTGACATGTGATGTACATTCCCATTCCTTCATGCACAAGATATCAACTACCAATGAGCAATATTACATATATTAAATGAATTTCCTTGGATGAGTCAACCAATTTTGTATCACAGCAATGTATTGATGATAAATCCATGTTCATTCCTGACAGTTCAAAATGTCATGTCTGAATTATGCAAACATCATCTTCATTAGCACTTAATGCAAATCATTTTGTTACTTTTACATTGCTGCAAAATGTGCAAGATTCAAACTTGTTTAATCCTGCAATCCAATACTTCGTATCTCAAAACTACCTCGCACACTACAAACATGACAATTAATGAAATTAATTTTTTTTCATTTTGTAATAATTTTCTTATTACCATGGTTACAGAAATACAGCTACACAAGAAAATCTTTGTTTTGTTAGGCTGCAATAAGGTCTTGCAAATTGTATTGTTAAATGTTTGATTACCTGCAAAACTTGGTCATAATTATGTGCAAAATTAACTTTCAAAACCAAATCTAGTGTGTGCTCAGAATAGCATGCACTCATTCTCAATCTTATATTCTAGTCAGTTTACCAAAGCTGGGGTCTTAATTCTCATCTGTAACAAACATCAACAGATTGTGTGTACTAACTTCATTTCACTACGAAGAAACGGGGCTTCGTGGCACAAAACACTTGACTGGAATTTAAACTGTTTCGACAATTATTCATCAGTGGAGCTTCATGAACAACGAAATGCAGGTACATCTATACATTGTGTTTCCTGTTACTGTAGCAATACACAGTGAGTGAGATGTGTTTAACACCACTTTGAACCGTTTTTCAGTCATACCATGGCATTTCAGCTTAACATAGGAAGAACGCCCAAAATGAGGCAGGACAAAGAGGTTTACCACTTTGGTGAAACCTATAAGCATGTGTATGGTGCTGACAAACCTAGAAACATGATCCGGGTGAATCTGGGAATCAAGATCAGGATCATAGGTTTCTGCTGGAGATGATTTGGTCACCCTTTCCCATGTATTATCCCATAAATATGAACATAGTGAATGTTCCTGGTTACCATATTGCCCTAGACTTGTCCAATTCTGTTTGGTCATGCATGTCTTTACACTTTTGTGCCCTCATCCCCTTATGTAGGGAAAAACATTCTTATAGACGGAAATGGTAACACACTGCCATGTGGTAGACGATTCTTATGCCACTGTTATCACTTATGATTGATTCTATCATGTTACATAGTGTTGCATAAATTCTATGACACCTCACTTCACAACAACTCATGCAAGAATATGAATCATAAAGAAAAGCAGTGCGTATCAAAGAAAGCACAAGTTTAATTAAAGAAATTAGTTGTGTTTGAGCAAAGTAAAAGCTTGGAGTTCTATTAAGCACAGAAATGTCACCAACAAGCCTGTGATCTATGTCTTAAAGAGACGACAGGTGTTACTCACAGGTAGGTTTGTGAAGGACATGAATGTGCTCTGCAGGAAGGCCACAAGATCCATGAGATAACCACTAGCATGGCCTGAAGATTCAGCCAACATCCAGTTGTAATTCGCTGCAATAAAACATAACCTTCACGCTGACATCTGACCATAGAATTCCACTTGCAAATCAATGTTTATATCTTGATGACATCTCAACAACATGTTTCAAAATTCATTGAATAAACATTACCTAATGACTTAGGGATTTCCTGGGTCTTTCTATTTTCAAGTCCTGGGGACTGAGTTATACTTTGGGGTGGGGGTGCTTGTCATGCACAGGCTGATGACATGTGGCCTGCTTCAAGTAATTGTAATTACATATGCCCAGAAGCAAACATAGATAGGGATTTCAATGTTAGAATGAGGAAATCAACCACAGACAATCTGAACTTTGTAACAAGCAAATTACAATGTTGATAAATTTAATGATTCAAACAGCCATACTTATTTTGCATCCCCAAGGTCCCCCAATGTAAATTATTTGCATCTATTTACAGTTGTATGTTTATGTCATTTAAACTGAATTCTTTAATACTGAAGGACAAGATTACATTAACATTTGAACATTTTCTACAACCAAAAAATCATACATTTTTTAATGATGCATATCTACTTAATCATTGTGTATTCATTCATTGTTCCTGTGTAATATATGTCGTTGTTGATAAACAAGTTGAAACCCAAATAACGCTTTGCATGAGTTATCTCCCTTTGATTATAGCATCATTGATGGCAACAATCATCAGTCCAAAAATTCAAGAAGAATAGTCTTATTTTAATGTGCACATGTCCTTGGTAGTGTGAATGCCTTCTTCCATCCTTCTATCACCATCACAAAGCAAAAACATTTCCAGACACCTACCTAGTTCTAAGAACTCATCTATTTTCAGATTCAGCTGCTGGTATATATGCTGTTCCGCATCATTCCGTGCATCCTGGAAACAAATGCCAAAGTATAATTTCCACTCCGTGTCTTTAGCCACTAGTCTGAAGCTTGAGACCAGTAAAAGTCTGTTCCGTCTAATAAGCTCAGCTAATAGTAGTCCATGTAACACTTAAATCTACTGAAATAATGCCTAGAACCATCTTTGGGCCAGAAAACACTTTAGCACTGACAGATTTACTATCAACAGTATGATTTATTCACCAAGATGACATGGAAATACAGACTTTACTGTGATTCTGATTGCTGAATTATTCCAGGACATTCTGAGGCTGCAAATAATGCATACCTGACAGGCTGCTTAATTTCTATGAAGACATGAAACTTTTATTGGGGAAAAACAGTTTCATTGATTGTCACAATGTTCCTGGGCTAATGCTTGTCTTCATATCTGAAACGTTTCATGCGTCCATGTTCAACAAACTTCAAAATGCAAATCAAGAACTTGCTAATTACTAGTCGTCATCAAATAAATGTTAACTTAAAACATTACCCTTGTCACCCATCTCTTCTTACCTTGAACATAGATGTCCCATGCAACCTGGCAATATGGACGCTATCTTTTTCAGCACTATAAAAAACAGAACAAAATACACAATTACCTAGTCACACAACATAACACTCACAAGGTGAAATCATATCATAGATAATCAACAAGTCAACTTCCAAAAAATAGCAACTAATATTTTGTCTGTGACCAACCATGAGATAAGAATCTTCCTGAGGCAAGGGAGTTAACTGACTGTAAAAGTCCAGTCTTCACCCTTGCCGAACTAGGCTGGAATTTCTGGGCTCAATCAAAGCGCCACTAGTGGGTGTGAGTGTTAAGTCCCTCCTCACATTTTTTGTTGTTGCTTAATGCTGCTATATGATGGCATTCTGTTAATAATTGAGTCTGGATCAGACAATCCAGTGATTGACAAAATGAACATAACACCTGATCACCCGATCCATTTTGTCGCCTCTTACGACAAAAATAGGTTGGTGGTACCTGTATTCTTACCAGGAATACCCATTAAGTGTTTACAAAACATGATCGATGTGACAAAACAGTAGCTGATGCATGAGCAACATGTTATGAGATAGTCCCCTACCCGGTTATACTGGAGATGTACTCCTCGAGATGTTCACATGATCGCTCCAGATAGTTCATGTTGATAGAGATCTGGATTAACTGCAACGAGAGAACACAGTGCAACAAACTATCACAGGTTTATGTGTTACACTTTCCTTGGCAACCTTCACAAGAACCCCATTAGACACTAGATACCTACAGAGTGACCGGTTCACCCCTTCACATCTAATTAGCCCAGCCAAATTACTAAGCTCCCATAAGAGTGTGTGCATCTGCTGTTTATGACGTACTCAGCAAATACTCTAGCTACATCATCATCTGTAAATAATAGAATCTGGACCAGACAATCCAGTGATTGTTATTGAGCACCATCCACTCTGTTGAGGTTTGATGATTACCATCTTATTCCCTTCATAAATAAAAACATGTTGCAGAACTACTGTTAAGTTATGATGTGCTTGGTGAATATTTCCATCTATGCTCTTTGTCTTGTCACTAACAGGTCTGAGCACCAACAAGAGCACCTTAAGAATCAGCACCTTACATGGCAGTCAGTCAGGTACTAAAGTCAGAGCAACTTCACTTATATATACCTAGGCCAAACGATCATTTAGAACTTGTGTTGAAGTACATGACCATTTGTTGGGCTAATATAACTTGTTGAAAAGACAAGTATACATATCAAGTCAGTACAACTATCAAGGTGCAGGCATATCTACTCAGTACCTGGAGAAAAAGCAAATTTTCACCTTGGACAATAATTTCTGCACAACAATGCCGCATATATTCTCCAACCATGCATATATACAAGTGACAGATTTACATGGTTGACAAGCCAAACATACCTGTATTAAGCTAAGTCTTGGTGTTTTGATGAGGTTGGACAGACAGTTACCAAGGGTCTTTGTGAGCAGCTGATTGGCAGACTTCCTGATCATGTCGTCTATCTCAGTGTGACTGAAGCAGAAACAGCATGATGAGTGAACAAAGGTATTTTTATGCCGTTGTCAGCAATATTCAAACCATGTGTCTGCCTGTAAATAATGCAGTAGACTGAATAATGAACATGATCATTTCCTCCTCCGTTGATGATAGACAATCAGCCAAATTCCAGAGCCCAGAGCTTGATGTAATATTTAGAGCCATTGAGAACTTACTCACAATTCATTATTCACATTGTGTATTGATAGTTTTCTTTGGCTATTCAAAATACCGTATTCGACATAATAAGCGCCCCAATTTAATCATTTTCGGTGGATTTTAGTGTTATTATATGGACTATCATTAGCAAAGCTTACATTTTTGGTTTTGTTTGTTTATTTGTTTGTTGTTGTTTAATGCCGCACTCAGCAATATTCCAGCTTATATGACGGCGGTCTGTAAGACAATCTGGTGAGTGACATCATGAGCATCAATCCAGGCAATTGGGATATGATGACATGCATCAACCAAGTCAGCAAGCCTGACCACCCGATCCCGCTAGTCGCCTCTTACGACAAGCATAGTCACTTTCTATGTAAAACATGGGTTGCTGAAGACCTATTCTACCCCGGATCTTTATCATGTTTATGGGTGGACAAGTTTACTACACGAAACTTGGGCTCCAACTAGTGGCTAATGTTGCGGACTGCAGTCCATTGGGTATTTTTACACATGAGTAGACATTTTTTTAAATGATTCTGCTTAAAACGCTGTTTCGTGTGATTTCTAATTTGTCTCTGTATGCTGCCTGAAGTGTGTAGCATGTCACATAAACTCACAACAGCCACATGTTTCATTAAACAATAACCGAAATGTGGTGCTACTTTTATACATTATCTAGTGTGTGATGCCTGTAAATAAAGACATTGTGAAGAAATACAGGTATGCACATTGAAACGAACACATTGGGTAATCACTCATACTTTTATTACGCTATTGTTTTTTGAATAAACATTTTCAAACATATGAGTATGCAAGGCTAAAAAAAAATATAATAGACTTGGTTCTCAGGCACTGCCCACATCATCATAAAGTTCACTGCACGTTTCGTTTTTGTTTTCATTTTCAATTATTTTTTCTTGCGTTGTGTTAAAGTATTAGGATTTTTATATTTTTTTGAAAATGGAAATAAAAACAAAACGTGCGGCAGACTTTATGATGATGCGGGTGGTGCCTGAGAACCAAGACTATTATTCTTTTAGCCCAAGCAACTCAAATTTAGTTGTGTAATGATAATCTATTTTTTGTATTTTCGCAAATACACAGAGTATCTAAAGCTTTGCAGAGACCCACCAATCCCCATTTGGTCAGGGTTTAATGTTGAATAAACGGATCATGATGTTACTGAAATGAGTATCATAACATCTCAACAGTAAAGAAACAAACTTATTAAGATGACTCACCTCAAGTGAAGATCAGCAGAAAACTTCAAACAGGCATTGATGTATTCTTTGACTTGATTGTATATACTGGGCACGAACTGGGAGTAGGGGAGGACTTTGGGGTAAGGTGACTGAAACACAAAATCATCAATCAAAATTAATGCTTCATATATATACTGATCAATGTTCGAAATTAGGAGTCCTCCCTAAGTATTTGATTCTGTAACTGTTCATCAAATCTTTAAGTATGTCAAGCCATGTGAATATTCAAAATGATAGAAATCCAAAGACTGAAATGAAGGCCAAAGTGACATGGTTTAGCCTTTGACATCATTGAGGAGACAAAATACAACACATCCTTGTATATAAGCATATGATCAACACCTTAATCAGTTAATATCACAACTTAAAGTAGAACTACTATAAGGCTAGTTGGCAAACCTCAGCAAGTTTGGCCATGATGGTGTGATGAAAACTTAGCAAAAAAGGAAGAAGTTAAATTGCATTGCCCCAATTACAGTATTTGCCAGTTCTAATACGCTTTTGAGAAATGTGAAAAAATATTTATAACATTCTGATGCTTTTCAAGAACAGACTCTTTTCCTCATGTCATATCCTTTTACACAAGTACCCTAATGAAATTCAAGTACTTATTCATGTCTGTGAGAACATCCACAAGTAGTTGTTAGTAGTGTTCAGTTACCTGCTGTAGCTCGGCATCATTCAACGGCAACTGGGACATGATGAGGCTAAACTCCTCCTCATCATTGCAGCAGATGGGAGTGTAGTTGTCTTCCCTGAAGATGTCGTTGAAGATGTCCACCCACTGCTCCGACAAGATCTCACTGTATCGGTCTCTCATCTCCAGTAACAGCTCCAACAGTCTTCCGACACTAAAACCATAACCCTGGCAACAGAAGCAAGCAGTGTGAGACTTCAGCCACTTGTCAACCCTTGGCTGAGTAAAATTGCTTCATCTCACAATTAAGAATTGACTTCAATATCTTTTTTCTGTTCATGGAGGTACACCGGTAAACGTAAAAACCAACAATCAGACAAGAATACAGGAAGGAATATAGTTCACACCAAGTTGGTGTTTTCATCTCGTAGGCTGTATTCCCTTTATGACTGCAAAAAACCCGACATTGTACCTTTTCTTATTGTGAGAGAAAGGGAAAAACTAGTTGTCCATAGCATGAGCCTCATGAGATACAGCTTCTTCTACAAAATGAGGACCTCTCACAGCTAGGATGGGGTAGTGGCGACAATATCTCACTGTCACGATGATAAGTCAATGCTACATTCCACCATGCCTTTAATAAGCATTCCAGCCATAGCCAGGTAGATGGCACCAAGAATGGGCTTGACATATACATGATACATGATGTGGGATATCAACACTGGGTGTGGGACAAGACTTGCAAATGCTATTACTTTAACCACGATTTTATTTTGTTTGTTTGTTGTTGATTGCCACACGCCACAATATTTCAGTTACATGATGGCGGCCTGTAAATAACTGTGTCTGGACCAGACAAACCATTGATTATTATTGTGAGCAACGATTGTGAGATACCATGACACACCATCAACGAAGCAACCAAGTTTGGCCAATGATCCATTTGGTCAGTTCTTTTGACCAGCATAGGTTGCTGGGGACCTATTCTGACCTGGAGCCACATCAGGACAAGTACTCACCTTGAGTGTGTGGCAGAATAGCACTATAAGTTTCTTTATTTCCAGCATTAAGTTGGATACTTTACAAGATTTCTGAAATCACAAACAAACCATTCCAAAAATCATCATTATATCACATAGTGAGAAGCATATAGTGTGTGAAAAATCACAATTAACCATTTTGTTATCAACATAACAAAGCAATGATTTGTCACTTCTTACCATAGGTAGCTGAGTAATACCTATCTAAAACATCACTGACAATGATAACATTAGCTTCTTTTTTTTAAAATTTTTAGACAAATAAAGATATTTCTTTGAAGAAAACAATTGAAAATGAACAATAGTAATTTTTGGGAATAGAAAATTCCCATCAAACGCATGCCATTTAGACAACTGATCAAATGCCAATGTAATCTATAACACTTGACTAGTTCTGCTCCTTTTAACCCTGAAAGAAGAGTGCTGAAATTATAAAAAAAACCATCTATAAATAGAACACCTTCTAACCTTCCTGAAAGAGATTCTTGTCATGTAGGTCTTTTAAATCATTGATCACTTGCATTGGTTACGGGGCAAGGAAAGTAGTCATGTTATTTAAAATAAAGTTAACAAAAAAAGAAAAGAAATCCAATCACGGTAACTCAAAGGGTAGATAAATAAAACAACACAAGTTTTACATTTTAATCATGTTAATCATAATGGTAAAAATGCTTGACTTTATTTGAAAGAAATAAGTTATTTACACTGTAATTCCCAGCATAACACATCAGTATACAAAAAGTAATTTCATCAAAGCCAATCAAAGTCAATCAATATTTGATCATGCTGTGAGTTTAAACATTCCCATGCTGAACTTCCTGAAGCTAATAGAAAGTGAGTTTAACAGGGTATAGATTCCATATATGTTAGATGTAAATAGATCTAGCCATCTTGCCACTTGGCATGAGGGTTAACAACTTTCTTAGCATGCTTAAGAAAATGAATTTACAATGCAGTGTGGTGACCGATTTGGTTATTGACTTTCTATCAGTACACTGTTATTTCGATTGAGTTGCACAAAACACTGTAATACTGATACTCCATTCAAGTCTAACATTTAATTCTGTACTGTCACACATACATTCTGTGAGAACAGCAGAAATACAAGCACTGTAGTGGGACATAGGGTTTTTGTTGTTGTGCAACACCACACTCAGCAATATTCCAGCTGTATGATGGTGGTAGTGATTGATACTGTAAGCAATGATTCATGTTATTGGTGTAAGATGACACGCAATCAACAAGTTGTGGAGTCTGACCACCCGATCCATTTGGTCGCCCGTAACAACCAACATAGGTTCCTAGAGACTTCTAAGTACATATTAAAAATACATATTAAGATCTTTGTTTTTTTTTTCAACATTTGAACAGTGAACCTAAACTACAAGACTTTCATACTGTTCACAAATAACTATCAATCAAGCAGACATCCTTTAGGACTGTTGATTGTCACAAATACTACAAAACTTGATATCACTATTCTTAACATGTTTAGTTTTAAAGAAAATTAATTTAAATTTGTTTCATATTTTCCCTAGGATTATACAGACTCATAATTAGTGATAATCTATGGAAATGTGAACAAAAATCATTTTGAATAAGCATGATAAGATATGCTTAATTAATCCTTAAACATGTTAACAGGTTAAGTCAAACCTTCATTGCCAAACTTGTTCAACAATCTCAACAAATGCCTCAATTGAATACTATTACTATTCAAATTTTCTTTCTGAATACAGCATGCAAGATATAACTGTGGGGTGTTACATAAACTGTGGGTAGAATCTGCAAAATGCACAGTAAGATTCTGTGTGAAGAAGTTAGAAAGTACATGGTAGAGAGAGTTAGTGGCAGTAACCATGAGTGAGGGGTACTATCAATGTATACAGACATGTTAGAAGGAATAATTTGTGTTGTTCAATGTCAGAATCCATCTTGTGGAGGCAACTCCTTAAAAGATATCAAAATACTTACATGATAGCATTAAGATGTATATTCTTGAGAAACAAACAAGACAACAACAAACATCTGAATTTTCAAAATTCAATGGTTGAATATCTGTAGAGGTGAAATGGTATATTTATCATGATACAAGTAGGATTTTGATTTTTCTCAATTTGTATTGAAAACTTCCTGAATATTTATTTTTTGTAACAAATGTTTTGGGTATTGTAATTTACTCCTTGAAGAGACTGTTAAACATTTTAACCCCAAAATTGACAAGAGCAAGGTAAAGGGGTTTAAACCATCTTCACAGAGTTTGCCCTTTGCGGTCAGGGTTCGACATGTATATTTTGTTCAGGCAGCCTATTGGACAGTGCTACAAACAAAATCCATCACCCAAGAGAAAATTGGCTAAAAATTTACAAAACATGGGAGGAATTTTTCACATATACTATTAAAAAAATCCATCTGTATTTCTTTGGTAATAACTTGATTTATTTGACATTTCAGATTTTTCTAAAATTAGTTCAGGGCGGTCGGGTAGCCAAGTGGTTAGAGCATTCGCTCATCACGCCGAAGACCCGGGTTCGATTCCCGACATGGGTACAATGTGTGAAGCCCATTTCTGGTGTCCCCTGCCGTTTTGTTGCTGGAATATTGCTAAAAGAGTCGTATAACCAAACTCACCCACCTATCCATCTATAATTAGTTCAATCGCCTCAATAATAAAATGAGCGTCCTGATTGATGTCAACCAGCATTTGTCCAGCAGGCCACCATTTCTCGAACCCTGACTTTGACTTTCATATTACTCAAATTACCATTTTCTGAAAACAAACATGGATTCTGACATGAGATATGTTGCTATGGACTTTGGTCGATACCTGTGCATTCCAGTGATTTTGGTTGACAAGCTTTGCCTGTGCAGACAGACATACAGACACATACAGTAGGGGCTGACAGAAAGACAATACCAAAGTACCTCCTGTTTACAAAAAGCGATGCTCCTTTCCTACAAACCCAAAAGCACATATATTTGCCTGGAAAATTCTTCTTGAAACGGTAACTACATCACTTCCCTTTATCTTCATGTTGATAAACAAATATATGACTGTTTATTTTAAATGAGCATTCAGAATTATATCTTTTGGCTTCACACTCGGCAAATGTTACTTGTTGGTTGTCTAATGTTGCACTCAGCAATATTCCAGCTATATGGTGGCGGAGTAAACAATCAAGTCTGAACCAGACAATCCAGTGATTGACATTGTGAACGATCCACGCAATCAGGATACAATGATACACAATCAACCAAGTCACCTAGCCTGACAACCCCATCCATTTGGTCGCATCTAATGACCAGCATAGGTTGCTGGGGACCTATTCTAACCTGGAATCCCTACTGTGCTGCTTATGAAATGTAATGGGTGTGTAACCTATCTTCCTCATCCTCTGCTGTATGATGAATAGTTATGTGTATATAAGGTTGTCCTCACTTGACGCTTGCTTTCCTCATCATTTGAATACATAGTGAACATGGTGAGTCACAGAAAGACAGCGATGGAACATTGTTATGCTGCAGTGAGCAAAATTTCAACTTTAACACAATGCCCTGTAACCATGGTAATCCAGTGGTTGACACCACAAGCATCAATTCACTCTTTCACTGACACATTGTCAGCCAGGTAAAATATTGTTATCACTTGAACAGTAATTTACCTGGGTTACCTATTTTGGGGGCTCACAACTTTTAATTAGTGGGGTCTCAGTAAAAAAAAATGAGGGTTCAAAGATTCAAGTAAGGGGTCTCAAAGAAAGGTAAAAACTTGAATATAACAATGTTATAAGTTCTAGCACTAGAAAAATCGTGGAGCATCTGACTTGGTATTGTACTTTTGTTTTATTGTATTTTTCTGCATCCAAGTGGATGATCTTTGTATAATTATTTTTTCATCCACTTTAAATTTGTATGTGTTAAGTTGAGGGTTTCACATCTGTGAAATCCCTGCTTGAACCTCATCCTAACCAGGTGCCTTTGAGTTTGTTATAACCGTAGTTTACTGTACCTACTAGGGCTGGGATGGGTAACTCGGGTACTCAGGCTGGGTGGGTCCTGAGTAGAACCCAGGTACCCACAGTACTACCCGGACCCGTGGTAAGTCAGGTGATATATTTAATGACAAACACTGACTACAGCTCAGTGGTCACATTACAAGTCACTAATGTTGGCATTTCTTTCTGACGATGCACACATTCCTTTTGACATGTATATGTTTGAGTAAAAGATAAAGCTTCAGTCAACTTCAGTGTATGAATGATCTGATCGTTTGATACATGTATCTAAACACATTTTGCCAAGGCTGCAGTGAACAATTCCCAATCAGACATTTTGTACCCAACTCTTTGAGACCTACAGTGGGTACCCAGGTAGGGTCGGGTAACAGGGGGTCGCGTACTCGGGTAGTAAATCTGGACTTGTCTCAGCCCCAGTTCCTACTGAATAACCAGCCTCAAATGTCAAACAAGGTCTTAGGATCTAGGCCACAGTCACTTCAACTGTATGTCAGAGTGTGTCTTGTACTCCTGACTGTAGTAAATAGTTCCCCATCCTTGTATGATCTATAACCTGATAATAGTGGTTGCTGTAGTATTTCAATCTAGGGACCCCTTAAACAAGGGTTACGACAAGGACACTTGATATGTCAAACACTGTACAATCTGCAATCATTACGGCCACCCAATACCTGTGTTAGATGGGTCTTAACCGTGTGTTGGGATCCTGTCACCTGATTTAGTAGATCTACGGAGTTATTTCTAAATGAATATTTATCATGTTATGGGTTTTTTGGACGATAAAGAAACATTCATAGTTTTCTCTCTAATCACATGAACAACTGTGAAACATCTCATTCACTTTTAAAAGACAACTTTCTCTTAAAAACAAGCCATCATCTGAGTATTTACAATGTCTGTGTGATGCCACCCCATCCCCGTTATAGCGTGAGTAATCGTGAAAAACATGGCCGTCCGAAAACTTATGACGTCCAAAAACCAATAATCCAACGATACTTCCTGTTCATCAGAGTCATAACAGAATAGCTACTTATTAAGATCTTCAACAAATCTCTTCAAACTGCAGGTCAAACTTCATAAATTAAAACTTCAAATTTCTATTATTTAGGTTTTAGTTGTTATTGAAGATCAAGAGGTAGGTAATGGCCAACACAAAATACAACACAGATTAAAACAAAACACAGACTGAAACAAAATTGTACATATAGTTTGAATAGGACCTGTTTTGCATTAGAAACAAGTACATTTTCATAATGTTCAGTGCCCAGATCCGCCTTACTGAATGAATGTCAGTATTTGTCTGGTCAATTTACAAACTGATTTAGTACCAGAATTTCAGCTATCAGATAATGGAAGTTCAAATGAAAGACATCACTTTATTAACAGCCATGCAGTTTGAAACTTGAGCATGTTGAGAGAGATCAAGTTATTTGTATCTAAAAGTCGCAATGGGCACAAGAACTTGTTTTCAATACAAACATGTAAACAAAGCATAAAAATCACATAAACAGACAAAGTCAGCAAAGTGAAGCAATTCCAAACATAACAATCAGTCCAGATGTATAATTTCTTCTTTATCCCTATTGATAAATATTACTACAAAGGTGTCCCTGACGAAATAAGCAGATGCAGTCTATGTAATTGAAAGATTCAGCTCAGAGTAACCATAGCAACAAGATTATGTAGGAAGATATGATTCCGAACAAAGGATATAACATAATAATGCACCAGGGATTGCAACTATATTTAGAGATGCTGTGAGAATGTGTAAACTGTAACACAAAAAGATTCACTTCTACATGTTGTAGTTAAGCAAATGATAACATTTTGGCTAAAAAGAAAAAAAGTCTTGGTTCTCAGGCACTGCTCGAATTATCATAAAGTTTCCCGCACGATTCATCTTTCGAAAAGAAATAATAAATCCTTAAATATTTCAAGTCCAACGGTAGTCAAATACTGTATTCCAGTATTTTGCTCATCAAGGAATACATTTATGTGGGGAGGCCCTTTCCCAGGTTGATTGTACAATACTGTTTATTAGGTTACACCACTGTTGGTTACATACTAGTTCGAAAAAAACAAAACAAAAAGAAACACTGCCCACCTGCACAATATTTTCCAAAGCCATTGCCTGACAACCAATTCTTTTATTTTTTTAAGCCTTACTTATTCAATTGGAGTTTGAAAGATTGTTCCTCTTTACCATCCCTAGTATTGATAGTCTGTGATTGTATATGTTTGTTCTGTTTGTTTGTTTGTTTATTTATTGTTTACGCCACACTCAGCAATATTCCAGCTACATGACGGCAGTCTGTACATAATCGAGTTTGGACCAGACAACCCAGTGATTGGCATCATGACCATTGCTCCATGCAATTGGGATATGACGTGCATCAACCAAGTCAGCAAGCGTGACCACCCCATCCCATAAGGGGCCTCTTATGGCAAGCATGGGTTGCTGGAGACTTATTCTACCCTGGATCTTCATGGGTCGACTGTAAATGTATTCCGATACATATAAAATCTATGTGCAATGATGAGATACTTTACGGTAAATTGACTGTGCATCCGAACAATGTATGTCAACCCTTGCTTTGTTTGCATTATCAAACAATACACACATCATCAATAATCATGATCTAATCCTTCAAACATGTGCAAACAAGTGTTGCTAATGCCTAGAGCATTGTAGAGATTTCAGGAAATAGATGAAACAGATCAAAGCTCCGTCCCACAAGTTGATCTCAGTGCAAGGACGATCATAACATCCCTTGACATAAACCTATGACAATCGTAGCTCTAAGATCACTTTGTGGAACAGGGTCCTGAACTTTCAGTGTATTTGAACCAAGAGTAAATAATACTCACAGCAGTTGATCTGAGGGTTGCTACAATCTTCTCTACAGCCTTCTCCCACAACTCATCCATATATGCCCGGTTCACCAGACCTTGGGATGTGTGTAAAATATGATCTTCCACAACAAAAAACCTACAAGAGTGACAGAACGTGACTCAAGCATCAAGCAAAGTATTGCATCAATACAGTTAGCATGGTTAACATTTGGTTTGTTGTTTAACGCCGCACTCAGCAATGTTCCAGCTATATGACGGCGGTCTGTAAATAATCGAGTCTGGACCAGACAATCCAGTGATTAATATCATGAGCATCGATCCACGCTTTTGGGATCGATGACATGCATCAACCAAGTCAGCGGGCCTGACCACCTGATCCCGTTAGTCGCCTTTTACGACAAGCATAGTCACCTTTTACGGCAAGTATGGGTTGCTGAAGACCTATTCTACCCCGGAATCTTCACGGGTCGCATGGTTAACAAACAAGTAATCAGGGTAATAAGACATATTTTACTAATTGAATTTTTATGTTTGTAATACAGTTAAACAACACTAACATCATACATATCATCATATTTATGATCAAATCATAACAATTACTTTTTCAGTTAAAATTACCATTCATTGTCACATCATAAAAAAAACAAGGGTCATCAGGTGATGACATATCTCCCTGGTCTGGTGCAATTCAGAAATGGAGTTTGGCTTTTGGTTCAGTAAAATTGGATACCTTCAGTTCAGCAAAGAAAAAAATAATGCTGTTCAGTATTTTTCAAAATCCCTAATCATCAAAAGGAACCAATTCGCCACTAGACTGATCTATATAGCAAGTTTCATTCAGGTTGGGGGGTTCTGCTCTGTAAACGGAAAATAACTCGTTCTCATCATGAAAAATCACGAAACCTGACCAAAAAAACCCATCCCAAATCATCAAAAGGCACCAGTACCCAACTAGACCGATCTATATAGAAAGTGTCAAAAAGAAATATTTAACGGTTTGGGAGTTTTGCTCTAAATGGATGGCTGATGGACGGACAGGCGGACAGACATGCTGATCGCTATGTCCCCCCGTTTCCCGTTTTTCATACCGGGGGGATAATAATGTTGACCACAATGACTTGATAATACCAACATGTACAACCAATGAACACTGAAACTTACCCTACAATATCATGGAAATATTTTCGGTAAGCATCTGCACTTTCATGCTGAAACAAAAATCCAGACTCAGTATTCACGGAACTTGCTGTGCCACGTCTTTGTTAGGGTAATACTGAGCATGCTGAGTGAATACATGGAGTCAATAGTGATTCATCCCACACCAGCTGCTTGTGGATATCAGACCTTAATAGTTATCAGATACAGTTGGAAGCTGTCAGACACAAGAAGCAAGTACTTGCATTGTTTGACAAAATGGTTTTGACCATGTAAAATGGAACAATTGATACATTCAGCCTTCAAAATTCATGCTAGTCCCCCGGCCAGCGACTGCCAAATTGTGCTGAGGACAAGTAAAAAAAATCCAATGACTAGTAGCATTTGAGGACTATAATTATAATGATTCTGAACCAGTTCTCAGTGCTTCAATTCTGTTACAAATTGGAATTGAATTTAACTGTCAGAAAATGACAACATAGTAAACATTTTTGTCTCATGCAAGCAGTACTTGCTACAAACTCTGAGGACTAGTGAAATAAGGTGTACACTTGTCCACTGGACTAGTCTTAAAAAAAACCCCATGAATTTGGAAGGTTGAACATTTTTACAACATACAGTGACACATGGAAACCATAAATGCCCTGTTTTCTGGATGGTTATGAAGCTACAGACTTGACAAATTGCTGTTTGGATACATTGTTTTAAAACATGCTACATGTACCGGTAAATGTAAATGTTGTGTTGACTTGTTGATAGTTGGTTTACAACAAAATGATTACAGTAATGTCTGAATCAATGCCAACTTCTTTTTCCTTGTTTATGGGTCACAGGGTTAGTAACTAACAGTTTTCATGAACTAGTCCTTATAATGATAACATACAGTAAAACCCTTAAAAAGTGCAAATTTCTACTAGTCCTTATGATACCTTTACCATTGGGCAGTTTGGCAAGGACTATAGGACTAGTGCTAATATCTAACGCTGGGTTATTGCACAACACAATTCAAAGTGAATATTTACTCATTTATTAGGATAAAAGGAATTGCAATCAAGGACAGTTTCAAATTGAATTAAAAATATATATAACTTAGAAATCATAAGTTTCTAAAACCTGCTAGACACTTATTAATAAAATGAATTTGACTGTAAAAGAAATGAGCAAACTGTTTTATTTGTTTGTTTGTTTAAAGCCAGTGATTGACATCATGAGCAATATAATCTCTGCAATTGGGATACGATAACATGCATCAACCAAGTCAGCGAGCCTGACCACTCGATCCCATTGGTCACCTCTTAGGACAAGAATGGGTTGCTGAAGACCAATTCTAACCCGGATCTTCTAAGAGTTAATTGCTTAGCATGAGGTCAAAATCTATATGCAAAACAAATATGAGTCACAATTAACTATTACTCTATTCTCTTCACGTACCAGTCAGCAATCATCCAGTCATATCAAAGCAAAATGTAAACATTGTCAACAACCAAACCTAGGCCTGACAAATCAACAGTTCATTTTGAAAAATAGGTGTTTCTTTCGAGAAGTTGTGCCCTGGTATCCTCACAGAAGTTTTAAACTGAGCATCAGACACACAGGAATGTCTTACCATGGCTGCTGGTGGTTGGAGGGACAGTCGAGCTTGCTTCCATCTCTGCTGTCGATAATAGGTCTCAAACTTCTCCTTATCACCCTGCGTACAGGAAATAATAGGAATTATATCACTGGGGCATAATACAAGTCTTTAAAATTGAGACAGTTACCTGTGCTTTATTGAATTCAAACCGAAAGCACAGCCTTTTGACAATGGTTGAAGAAGAAGTCCTTTTCTATAAAAAGATTAACAATTTTTCAAAATATTGCATGCACCATCAAGAGTGCCTTGTTTTGGTCAAAAGAATGTACGAGGAGACGAGTAAATAACAAAAACAGAACAGTTATTTGTAAATTGCATTGTCGGAACTTAGTTCAAAAGTAGATGAAAAAAAATGTTTTTGATAATACTCACAATGCAATTATGTACCCCTTCTACCGTTTTTCAGAATACACACAAGAATGGGCTGTCTCATACAGAGACACTTACATATTTTCTAGAAGTTGGTCAGGAGGCATTTATTTGAGCTGGGCGCTTACTGGTAATATGGCAAATACGGTACCTGTCAATTTCCATAATGAGACTCATGTATTTGCGAAAAGTTTGCAGGTGACACAATGTCACATGAATATTGAATAACTATGCTTATTTGCTTTTAAACTATTTTACATAATCAAATTTACTGTAACCACCTTCAAACACGCATTTTTGTCCATTACATCAGGCTAGCACCAGTGGATCAATAGACAAAATGATACAGACATCCACATAATGTATAAAATTGCTAGAAAATGTGAACAGCTTACTGAGCTATATCTCACTCTCTCTGCAAACATTTACCTAGCTTTCACCTATGTATTAATCCTTCATTGAACCACAACAGATCATATATCTCATGCAAAGCAGTACATCAAATCAGTCCAGTCATACATACCAAGACAGAATAAATATGTAGACATCGGTAAACTGGAGAGAAATCCACAAGATCTTGAGCGCTCAGTTCCTGAAAGTCACAATGCACCCACATTATCATGAGATTTCACATATCTCATTCACAGGCAAATTTAAGAGGTGTAAATGTTTAATTGTTTTAAACAGTTTTGAAAATAAACAAGATTGATTTTGTGTGTGTGTGGTGTGGTGTGGTGTGGTGTGGTGTGGTGTGGTGTGGTGTGGTGTGGTGTGGTGTGGTGTGGTGTGTGTGTGTGTGTGTGTGTGTGTGTGTGTGTGTGTGTGTGGTCTAAACAATCAGTTACTGAAGCTCAGCATTGAGGGAATAAAGCAAAGACTGGTCGGCTCAGAGTCAGTAAATTATGTCTGAGTGGGGTATCCATGTTTAAATTGGGCATGGTACCTCAGTGAGCTAGCACTATAAATACAACGCAAGTCTGGACCAGTACAACCAACCACACACACATGTGAATGCACATCGCTATAAATGGGAAATCATTTTGAACATGTTAAACCCCATGTCACCTCACTTTTTGTTCTACAATCACCTATACTGAAACACTTTGAAAACATGCATTCAAATATTGTTATATTTGACAAAATGGCCACAACAATCAAATTAAGTGGTTCTGTGTATTTCGGCACGAGATGATCATACACAGCAATGACATGTTGTCACAGTCATCATTTGCTGTCATTATGGTCATGCAAGAAAATATTTACCATGTTTACGACCAAAATTGATTTCTGGTCGCTTGAGTTTTCATTGTGTCATTATTATCCAAGCCTGGACTACATAAACGAGCAATAGTGAGAGCAATGAGGTCAGGAGGCAATTATACACAATAACCATAGGACACAGCTGGTACTGGTCACAGATGACTGGCTACCAGCTAGTTTGACCACTTTTTCTGCATTGTAGACCATTCTTCGAACAAGCAGAGCACTGGGAACATCTCTTGACACAGAATCAACACTGGGTAGGTCAACCTTGGTGGCAAGGCTTCAAATTAATTTGAACGTGTAAGGGTCTAGCAACAATAGAAACAAACATTTTTAGTCCACTAGTCCTCATAATGATAACATGTAACAAAACCTTCAAAATGGCATTTTTGCTACAAGTCCTTATGACAACTATTGGGCAGTTTGGCAAGGACTATAGGACTTATTTGTGCCAATTTCTATCACCGTCAAGTGGCTTAGAGTCAGAAATATAATGACAAGGATCTAATATGATTCAGAAATGAGGGTTCATTGTGTTTGGGGGATCAGCGAAGCACAGTAAGCGGTGAAATCAGGTGTTTGAAATTGAGGGTCATCCTGGGTTCATTGAGGTCTTCTCTGGAGTAACTGAATCTAGGTAACCCATAAACCTACTACATATAGCATATGGGTTATGACAAGGGCCACCACCTTTCATGTTTTATTTTGATCTTTGAGTGACATGATATTTGATATACTGATAAAGTAATGAACCCTGACCTCTTCTCCCTCCAATGAGTCTTCTCTCACAACCTCAGGCATTGCTTCCACTTCCCCAGAAAATGGATTAGGCGGCGGTGGCGCTCGACGTTTCTTCAGCTTCTTCTTCACTATTGTTGGGTCCATGTTGTTCTGCTCAGCTGCCTGCAGAGGTAATAAATGATAAGATGAGACTGTGTTACCATAGTTACAGCATGTTTAATCTAGACCAATATTTGGGCAAGTCTGGGATTCAAACAAACGTCCAACAGAACCAGCAACGTCCGCAAGATCCAGCAAGACCATGTGTTAAATCCAACTTCTCAACCAGCTTGTGCCAAAACGTTTGAATCTATTTGACCAAAATTGGCTCTTAGCATCATTTTCAGTAGATTTAGGTCCATAAAAATGGACTACAGATGAGCTTACTAGACAATATTGTAGACAATATCAGACTTTTACTTGATTTTCAACATGCTCACATGTGTCATTGCCACTTCTCCTATTTTCTCTGAATGTTTCCGGATGCTCTCCAGGAAGTCCTTGAGCTCGGACATGGAGGCCTCCTTTATTTTCTCCCTCAGCTTAGGGATGGCTTCTGACATGGTCTGTGAGAACCAATGGCTGATGACTCGGGGCAGATAGGTGTGCTCCAGCTGTTCCAGGGTCTTCAGGGCAGGGTAGAACCTGGGAGGGAAGGAATGTTCACAAATATTCAAGTCATATCAAGCCATACAATAACTAAACCACTTGGAAATCAAGTGCACTGTGCCACGTCACCAGCCTACACATTGTTCATGTCTTGAACCCCCAACTCGAAAATAGGTAGACCCAGGTTAATCCGTGCATGTTGAAAATGTAATATTCTACTAATTGATTAAAGTCAACATGAAAGAAACTACAAACTGGATCATACCTTCTGTTTTTCATTTGTTCTTGGAGCTTGCCATACAGTTCCAACACTGAAAAGCAAATCAGGTTGATTAATCAGAAACTTAGTTCATCATCATAAGGTGCCAATAAAAAATGAGTGAGTTGGGTTTAACACCACTTGAACAGTACTCCAGTTGAATAAGGGTGTGTCAGCTTAACATGCTTAATGTGGGAGGAGAGCCTAAAGTGTGGCAGGTCTCAGACCACTTTAGTGAAACCCACAAGCTTGGGTATGGTGCTGACGCATCTAGAAACAGGATTTTGGAAATGAATTTTTCTTATTGTATTAGAGATCTGCATGTCACTTGTTGGCCATCTCATGTATATTTCTTAAATTCCGCAAACGAAAATAATGGTGTTATGTAACCTTGTATCCCAAAATTTACAGTTATATTAACATCTTCCCTGTTCGCTCTACTCCACTCTCTCTTTATTTTCCAATATCATGGATGATGATCATTATGCATATATTAACCCCAGGGAGCTGAGAATGAAATTGACCAGGTAATAATAATGTAAAGCCATGAGCTTTAACTTGGTGAATAAAATTTAGCGCACTATGAATGAACTTGTTACTATCCTGAAACCATGTACGAAAAAACAAAATCCAAATGCTTAATCAGCTGTTAATCTAGAATCAGTTTGTGGCACTAACAAGTGCTAGGTTATTGTAGGTGTGGCACATGTGTGGTGAATGTATCTACAAGGTCATCATGGCCACACAGTAGTAATAACGTTAATATTAAACATGTCACAGAATGAGTGACAAGCACAAAGAATAAAGGAACATGACTAACCCCAGTAACTTTGTTACCTTTGTCAAAGAACAAGTAAAAAAGGCATGAAAACAGCCAATACTAAACAATACATTATAACACTATCAGCTTAGAGACAATGATCCTAGTTATAACCAACATAACAACATGTTTGAATCACTGTGTAAAATAACTATGCTTATGAACTAAGAATGCAGAAGTCCACAACACAAGGAATAAGCCCTGTACACTTAAGACACAGTAATCACAATAATGCCTTACTTCCTGCTGATAACTAGACCACTATAACACGACAGCCACTCTGGCAGTTTCCTGAACATTTCTTATCCAAAACATTTCAGCCCCTCCTGCTGTATATATATATGAAAGCCAGCTGCAGGAGCACATTTCAGTATGCTTCTAGAATATTTTAGTTTATTCAATGTGTTCTAGCCTGATACGGTTTATAAACAGATTAGACTGTCCTACCTGGCAGGCACATAGAGAGATTTTCTATGGCAGCTGTGATATTCTTCTGTATCTTGCGACTCTTGACCAGCTCATCACCTTTAGCCAGGAGGGGGTCACATGACTTTTGAAGCTCGCTATCCACACCGCTGATCTCATCCTGACATTCAGAATATTGTATTACAGTATCGCATATTTCACTGCAGCTGCAACAACCACCACGACTACAATCATTGACAATACCAACAACAACAATAATAATTTTGTTATATTGGTATTTTGTGCAACACATTTTTCAGTGTACATGCTGAATTTTGTTACTATTTATTATGATCATTACAGTTTCATAATGATGATAGAATTTGTCAATGTCACTTTGTCATGATAGTCCCTGACCCACTGCTTGTCTTCATAGAACAGGGGTAGATTTAGCAACAAATTCATATCAAACCAGCTGGTCATGCTCCTTTCAAAAGTTACTGGCCCTTCTCCAAACTAACTGCCCCAAAACTAAATGTTGGTGGCCATGACTGAGTTACCCAGTCCCCTCACCCCTAAAACGTCATTTCCTGCACTCAGGAATTATATATTGGCTTCCAACTGCCTCATTTTGTGGCGATTGTAGGAGCAAATAAAGATGTTGTTGTACACAACATTACAAAATGTCCGCTGGTTGGATCATTTCACCAAGATGATCTTTGAGCCAACCTTTCACACGACCATATCCCCCCTAAATATTTTCTTATCCAAATTACATGATTCACGAGCAGCGTCCAATTAAAAAAATAAACATAAACAGAGAAGGGGTGAAATTTTGACAAGCCAGATGGGACATCTACTTTATGTTTCAGCAAGCCTTTCATAATTTTAATTCAACGGGCCAGAAGTTAAATCGACCCCTGTAGAGGACCCTGACAGTGTTACCTTCAGTTTGGCAGCATCGCCACTGACTTGCTGTAGTTCTCTGATGGAATCAATAAACCCTTGATAGTGGTAGTTGCACATCCGCTCAATCTCACGGTCATGACTCTTGATTCGAGTATCCAAAGTCTCTTGAAACTTGCCCAATTCGTCGCCATCGTAAACAGCTCTGCAAAACAATGGTCATATGCAAGCATGGCAAGAGCCTGAAATGATTAGCCTATCAACACACAGAATTGCTCGGGGAACTGGTAATGACAATGAAGCATCATGTTTGTAGAATATTGGAGTCAGAGCACATCTCATATGGTACCCTGGTAATCGGACTATAACCATAACAATAACAAAATTGCGATATTTCAGTTAGGAAACACACACAAGTTTTACTTGAATCGGGTGGTCAGACTATGTGACTGGTTGACTGCCTGTCATTGTATCATGACAATGCTGATGGTGTAGATCATTGCTAATAATTCAATCACTGGATTGTCTGGGTCAGACTAGATTATTTACAGGCAGCCATCATATGCCAAGAATATGGCTGTGCCTGGTGTTAAACAATAATGCACAGTCTGCGACTTTACCTAGTCCCAAGCCCCGACCTAGTAAAAGTATGTTTGGTCCAGTAAGCTCAGCTGTAAATAGTCCATACAAACCACCTGTGAAAATTAACCATGAATGCCTCTGAACATGCTGAACGTCAACTAGCCAAAAGAGTGATAACTATTAACATAATAGCAATACCCCACAAAATGTTAGGAATTCTACAAGCCCTTAGAATATCCAGCAATAGAAATTGGCACTGGCCCTATAGTCCTTGCCAAACTGCCCAATAGTTCAGGCATCATAAGGACTAGTAAACATTTGGCATCTGTTAGGGTTTTGCTATATAGCATGATATAGGGCATCATTTTAAGGACTAAACATGTGAACATCGTTAATTTTTAAGGCTGATATCTTTAACATTAACAAAAATGGTTCGTGGGCTAGTGCTAATTTCAATCCCTGTAATAACACAAATCTACAAACATGATGTTAAGAGCAATGTTTGGGCTAGTAATCTCAAACATTTTGGGCACAGACTGCATGCATATGCAGGCCCTCTATCTATTTGACTGAAAAGAAACATTATCTGAACTAATCATGCTAATGTAAACAATATCGTGTATAGCTACCTAGTGCGAAGGAATAGTTTCAAATGCGATATAAATGCAATAACTGTTGTCATAACAGCAGTTCTCACTGGAATTACCACATAGCCACTATTGGAAACAACAGCATTGGCAACCGAACACATTCGGTCATATCTGATAAATTCGGCATTTTGCCATTATACAACAACACTCGCTGTCGCCACAGCGCGCAAAACATGTCTGACAGTAGCGTAGAAGAGAAACAGGGAAAGCGTTTTAAGCAATGCTTGTTTCCAGAGAATGTAATTCTTATTAAGTTAATGAGCACTCATAATTCCCCTTTGATACTGATTATTCATTTTCTGTTTACGTCAAAGAGCTAGATCTAGTATTTGCCAAATACTTGTTGACATAACAGGGCAAATAAACAATTCTGTCAACAGTAAGGAATTCGTCTGTGACTGATTGCCACTTCAACAATAATATTAATTCATATGTATTTTATTAACATTCACCATTACCAGATACTGATGTGTATGCTACCACATAGTTTGCTGGGATCTGGTGGGCAGATGTGTGACATTTCACCCATCTTCAGCATGTTCAGTGTGTTTGGAGACCATACCAGACTACTGCCCATTTATTTACTATAACCATGATAACTGATGCAAGAAAACATGTCTCCCACTTTAGACAAATTCTGATGCATATGAATACTTGCTCAATGCCATGGATTTTAGGCTTTATAGTCAAGTCTTCGTGTCAGACTAACCAAAAGAAATTACTTTGCTTGTCTCTTATTTGCTTATCGCCGCCATTTCTGCACAGTTTTTCCAGAAATACTTAGTGTTGTCATTGATCAGCTTTTGTTATCCACTGCATTTGACTGAGTTTCTCTTAGCGTTTGTGCACAGATTCCATTAACGACGGCTGTCATATCGGATAGTGTTTCTTTTCGTAAGCTGAACAAATGCATTTGGTTCCTATACGGAGCTATGCTACCAATACGCCTTCATTTTAAACCCATTCAAAGAATTATATTCAAATAAATAGGAGGGTATGAAATGGGTTAAGATATTGGCAAGCAGGAATACCTATGATAATGATATTGCAATGTTGGATTGTGGAGGTTGGGTGGGGTGAGAAATTGATACCTTTTAGCTTTCGATATCAACAAGCTAGTGACGTACACAACCTCCCCCTTTTCATTTCCTTTTTGAATGAATGTGCGGATAGACATTTGTCTTCATCTTGTTCTTTTTCTTACAAACTGGTTAGGAACTTAATCTTGCACAAACCAGATTCAGATCTGCTGTTTGAGCAGGACCTTGTTGCGATGACATGACCTAACTCTGACATCAACTTGCAATCTTATCAATCTATGTTGTTGTGATCGACAATTGTTTTCATCTTTTCATCTATAGTGCAAGTCTTACATTTTAACTCGGTGTCAAGTTCGAAGGTATGATCAGTTTTAATTATACATCCTTCAGCTATGAACATAATGAGAATGCACTGTCAAGGTGTAACATGATAAATATTTCTGATGTCAGTGATAGATGAGGCGAGGTGCCCGGCGTTGTTAGCAGGTGTTTACCTCAGAGTTGTGGCCAGAGGTCCGTCCGAGGTCTCAATTTCTGTAATCAAGTGATCATGCTGAGCGCTAACAGCCTCTTGCCTCAACGTATTGGCATCCTGAACGGTGTCGTGGAGCTTTTTCCAAGCTGGAATCTTGGTAGTTTTGCGGGGTGTACTAGCTTCCGCCATCATCCCATCTTGCGATTGCGCATGCGCATTACAATACTTATTGCAGACGATAAGTTATTCGTCGTTGTGCAGACATTGTTTCGTATTCAGCAGGTGCCCTATACTTTAACCGTTGTTGTACAAAATCGTGGAAACATCCTATCTAATTAAGATAATTAATATTTATCTGAATCCCATTTCGCACAATAAAGGTACGACATGTGCATATATCTAGAGAAGTAAAAATAATTAATGTCTTGTGAAATGACACGTTTTGATTTAGATACTCATTTCTTCATAATATCATCAATGCAGATGATTTGATTATATATCGACATGTAGAGTGAACATTAGTTTCATTCGCAGTGGTAAGTAATTAAAAAAAATAAAGGATGTCAGATAGACGCCATGTCGAATGACTACGCAAACTGAGAGACATAAGTTACTTAAAGACAACGGCAAACTAAGTTCTTAATTTTAATTTTATTTTAACATGTTTATGTTTCTCTTTCCATTTCAAAAACAATTAATTAAATACACTATTCATAGTACTACAAATACCAGATTAAAATTGTTATTAATTCGTAAAGACGCAAAAAATAAAAAAATAAAAATTGCATATACATGTACTCTTATTATATCAGAGACTGCAATTAGGGCCCATAAATAAACTAATAGTGTCACATACACATTTCGTCTGCACAGAACAACTCTGAAATACAGGTCACAACAGTTCTGATCTGTGGGAATTCGGGTAAGAATATTTTATAGGTCCTCAGCTACTCAACGGCAAAATGGGTCGGGTGGTCAGGCACGGTGACTTGGTTGACGTGGATTTCATCGTATTCCACACGGATGGGTTGATGCTCATGATGTCAATCTCTGAATCGTCTGATCCAGACCCGAGTAGTTTAACAGACCGCCGTCCTGGAATATTGCTGCGTTAAGTTCTAAACAACAAACATGTGTAAACCGCGACGTGTATAACATGGAAATTTGTTTCTTCTCTGTATTGTTGTCACAAGCGGCGTCTAAAACAGACGAGGTATGGTGAAATGGGGTTTAACGTTCAAGATTATTTCACTTTTATAGCACGAAAGTGCGCGTGCGCTTGTGTTTGGCTGCCTTACTAGACCGGACTTATGCCCGTTTTATAGTCCCTGCCCAGAGATACCATGCCGCAATTTAACCCGCCAACCAGACCTTGTTTTATCCTGTTCATGCCGAGCGCCAGGCAGGGTAACAACAAGTATCATTTTAAACGCCTTTTGGAATGGTATAACGCGGTCGGGGATTTAACCAACGACCTTCCGCTATCCGGGAAGATGTTTTGAAAGTAAAATTAAGGCTATATAGTGATTGGGTCTGATCCTTCATGCATCTCACGTACGCATGGGCATTCCAGGTCCTGCAGTAGGTCCTCGTTCGGGATGATCAACTCGCAGCCTGTATCAACAATGTAGCTATTGTTGTTAGTAATACTTCATGGTCTCCTCCGATAGAGTGAATCGGTGCTCACACTGTTGACCACTGGTTAAATTTGTAACCAAGGTTACAGCTAGAGTCGATTAAATTCAAACCGCCTTGATTTACTTTTATATTACTGACTACACTATGGAGGACGGGACGGAGTGAGTGAGTATGGTTTTACGCCGCTTTTAGCAATATTCCAGCAATATCACGGGTCTTCGGCGTGACGAGCTAACGCTTTAACCACTAGGCTACCCGACCGCCCCAGTACGGGGTGGAGCATTAGGGACCTATATTAGGCCCACTGGAAATATCGATGTTAAAGTTACGGGAAGCTCTGGTATCAAAATGTTATAATGGTTGATAACTAGCCTTGTTTCCTTCTCACTCTTGCAAGTTTTGGACTTATACCATGATCAAATACTTAAGTAAGGCTAAAATTAGTTTAAAAAGCCGATTTTTCTAGCTTCTTGCTAACATCTAAGTATGAGCTAGTCCCTGAAATGCATTTTATAACTAATGCGTGTATACTGGTTTTATATCACCTAAAGACAGCTTGGGTCAAAGACTTGCCCATGTACACATATAAGAAAAAATATGCGAATTCCTATTTTTACTTGTACGATATGTTCCCGTATTTTTTCAGGTGAACAATTGACATGCCTTTGCACGTGTTTGCTCACCTTTTCACGAAGACCTGGTATCGTCACTATTTGATATTGATTCATAAATACATGCTAATCATATAGTCGGACTCTGGCTTCTTATTTCTTATGACAATGGAATTGTGTTATTCGCTTTTATGTACATTATGCATTATGTCTCTTGTGGCAGAAAGGGCCCTATATATCCCATTCAATCACTCTTGGAGGGGAAACAGATTAAAACCCATTCTGATAGAAATGCAAGCTCTTACGTTGGGGATTCTGAGACACAGTATGTTCAAAGTACTTCGTGCTTCGTATAAAAGCCAATAATGAGGATAGAGTGGTAAAATGTTTCATCTGGCTATCTCAGTCGATGCTCATGCTGTTACCCACTGGTTTGCGAAAAATAACTTCACTCAATCATTCATTTTGAACTTTAAAGCCCCCTCCCCCCAAAAAATAAATTAAAAAATAAATAATAATAATAATAAATAAATAAATAAATACATACATACATACATACATACATACATACATACATACATACATACATACATACATACATACATACATACATACATACATACATACATACATACATAAATAAATAAATAAAATCATTTTAATATATTTTAAGTCTCCATGACTGTGTGGTGTGGAGAAGTCAGGTTTCACGAATAGCTCCATCCATGACATGATTCATAACCTGACAAGCTATACAAAGCTCAAGCTGACATTATTCCCGTATATTTCACAGTAACGAAATAGATACACATCAAAATGAAAGATTTCCGTTCAACGTCCTGTCGAACAGCATGTCAGTTACTCTACTCGAAGGAAGTTAAAGTACACCCTATGTTTCAAATCAGTATATATAATCGGTCACTGCTGGTGGTTATTGCAACCCACAGCAGTAGAGGATATGTAATAGCCTCTACACACAACCTTCCAATTGTGTGTTTTCTTTAACTTGTTTTAGTAGACTAAGTATATATGACGGTATGTTAGATCCAGTCGAAAGTGATGCACATCATTAACGTTTATCACTTCGATGAACCCACGCAGTATAATCTTGGCGAACGTTGAATTCGAACCCACGACAACCACATCCTACAGGTTTACAATGAGTTTGGGCGCAGCTTATACCACTGTGCCACCCGTACCTCGCCAATGACTTCTTATTACTGCAACTAGAACAGGGCCATTGTGAGATATGGTCACTTTTGCTACAGTCATGGTATGATCAATATTACTTTGATATGGTTAAATGCAAACATAACTTACCTATTAACAATGACTGGAGCTAAACACGCAAGAACTATGTCGACGCTATCCATATATACGCAGCCAGTGTATAATGCTGTCACCAAGGGCGAAGTATATGAACTGACAATGACACGAATCTATTTAATAACACCAATACCGGTACAAAGATCACGAATCCCTCCCTCGGTGCTTCAACAAGGAAGTGAACTCTTCTCCCAAGCCGTACTCTCTACACAGGGTTTAGTGTTTTAAGTGTCTTAAGACCGGAAAGCTTTTTCACATGAGAACTTCTACTTTGTATAGGAAATTTGACCTTATGTTTTAACTACATAGTCATAATTTCTTTATAGAAACCAAATGCATTTACATTAATTTAACGGTATTTATTGCATAACCCCTTAACTAATGGGGTTTAATGTCGTGTTCAAGTTTGTCGCTTACTTAGGGACGTGTGTACGTGTTGTACTAGTTAGGACTTTTCAGCGTTAGAAACTGGCACTAGTCCTATAGTCCTTGCCAATCTGCCCAATAGTTAAGGTATCCTAAGGACTTTGCCCTTTGTAAGGGTTTTGCTATGTGTTATGATTATAAGGAATAATGGAGCAAAACGGTTAGTTTGTATCGCGGCTTTTCCTGATTTCATAGTGCTGGCCCACTGAAGCCGCATCTTAGCGTGATACCTACCTCGTTATACTGCTACATTATGCTGACAACTAGCCAGGCAGTCTTTGTTTTCTCCCATGCCGAGCGCCAGCCAGGGTACCAACAAGTATTGTTTTAACGTGATCTGGTATGACGCGGCCAGGGTGATCAAACTACCGGGCGGACGCTCTGTCCACAACACAATGGAAGTATACAATAACCAGTATATATAATATACAAACTATAACCAGTGAAACGTCATAGCTGAAGATTGTTGACGTCATTCGGCAAATGTGTTTTACTGAGACGGCGGTCGTCATAAGTGCATATTTTTCTAAAGGGGAGCTCAATAGGATTAAGAAATAATATGTAATAAAAAAAATATTACACTCGCATGTGTGTCTATTCCCTCGGGAAATCCAAGAATTCTGACACTCGTTTCGAAAAATCAGTATGACCGTGACATATGCTCATAATCTCTCTTTGTAGGTGTAGTACATCTATGAATGTAAGAAACACTAATGAAAAAACAACCTAAAAAGTAAAAACCCCAAAATAGTTTCAGTAAACATAATTTACATGAGCTATTTGGTGTGACCTTAGGTATTCTATCCTATTCTTTATCTAGCTATACGAAATCGTGTGTACTTTTCCCTCGCCTCAAACGATCCGTCATCTACTTGTGGCAATAGACATCAAGCGTGGTCGCATCCGGCAACTGGGACACAATAGTGTGTTCGTAATTGAAATTCATTATCCGGATTTCCGGAAAAAGAAGAAGGATTGTATGTAGTATTTATTTCGTTTCACGTAAATATCCCCCAGCAGGCGAAGTTTTCGAGTAACTCGGGTACACGGGTCGGGTGGGTACTGAGTAGGACCCGGGTACCCACAGGAATACCCGGGGCCGTGGTTAGTCATGTAATATATTGTTTAATGATTTCAAATATCTAGAACTCTATGGTTACTGTGCAAGTCACTATAATGTTCGCATTTCTTTCTGACTAACCACCATTGCTTCTGACCTTTATAGGTTTAAATAAAAATAACACTTCGGTCAACTTCAGTGTATGCATGACCAGATCGTTTTATACATATATTTAAATACAAATACCAGGGCTACGCTCAAACTATTTCCAATCGGACATTTTGCACCAAACTCTTGCGACCTGTAGCGGGTACCCGCGTAGGGTCGGGTAATAGGGGGTGGGTACCCGGGTAGTAAATTTGGACTCGTCCAAGCCCTACTTCTCTCCTACAGTAATGTTCTTATAAAGAATCAGGTGTTGATCTGGACCCCGGGACGGAGCATAAAAAGAGTATCAAATAAATTTGAAAATCATCTCGTTTCCAAATAAGTGTGTAATCGGAAATGGATATTTTGCCCAAAGCAGTATTGACCGGAAGTCTATTCAATTCCCTGTCGCAGTGTTCTAAAAATAGTACCAGCCGCGACAGACCGACACTTTCAGAGTTCTAACTTCGCGAATAAGGGCGTTACGCACTGGATCGATCTACCCTTTAATATTATTTTCGGGTTTTAGCCAAGTGTATGTACAAACAGCTTCTGCCTGCATACTGTTAGTCTTTCCTCTCTAATTCAGCTGTCAAAACGCTGTGAAAAAACTGTCTCAATGTTTGGGGTGGCCTCGACCACGACAACACAACTCATTCATGAAGTCCATTAAAACGTGCGCCAACGCATTGACTGTCAATCAGAGTTACCCCCCTTCTTCCACGGAGCTTCCTTGTGTGGGTTAGTTTCGTTCGGGCTATATTTTGTATTATTATATTGGTATCTTAGTGGCCATACATTAAATACGCTATTGTTGCTACTCTGTATAACCCCGCTGTTAGGAGATACTGAAGATAAATCATATATTTTATCAACTGATTCAGAATTGTATTGTTGTATACACCGGATTTTGAAACAAATAATCCTTAAACATTAAGCCAGTTGCTTGAATGACTGATTTTGTGAGACAGAAAGGGTACGTGTCAGTGAAGTGCAGCGTTCTAGACAACCCGTGTAAGTTGTTGTTAAAGCTAACATTGACAGCAAGAATTACAAACAAATATACATTTATAAAACATTGTGTATAAATAAATTGCAATAAAACGATTAAAACCTTATCACTTTTTATATTCGTCAATGACACTTTTAGTACATTTAGTGGATTTCAAATATTCACATTTTTACCCAAACCTACACATCAGTCTAAATCAACAAAAACAGTTTTGCATTGTTACAAGTGAATGATCATATCATTAAAGGGGCGCGGTCAGGTAGCCTAGTGGTTTAAGCGCTCATAATGCCGAAGACATGGGTACAATTTTATGTGTGAAGCCCATTTTTGGTGTTCCCTGCCCTGATATTGCTGGAATATTGCTAAAAGCGGAGTAAAACCATACTCACTCACTAACTCACATCATTGAAATCATAGATAAAGAATATGGTTTTGTTTCAGTCTGCAACAAAGATGGCGTGTGAGAGGCTGATGAACTGCCGCTTCAAGAGACCCAGCGCCCTCTACCGGCTGATCTGTCTTCCCTGGGCAGGTGGGGGGTCAAGTTTCTATGCAGGTTGGGGCAAGCTGATGTCAGAAAATATAGAAGGTAATACTCTTAAATTGTTCTTTGCACATGCAGTAGATTTAACAACAAATTTGTATGTAGCCAGCAGGACTTGCTCCTTTTAAAAGTGACTTCCTTCTCCAAAGTAATGGTCTACTAAGTAATGGTGGAGGCTGTCGAGACGCCACCTAACAGGTCTCTGAAACCTCTTGCCCGCACTCTGAGATTGAATTTTAATTCCCTTAATATTTTCTCATAAAAATTACATGATTCATGTGAGTAGTGTCCAATTGAAAATAAAATTATTTATACATGGAGAAGGGAAGTAATTTTGAGTTGCCAGATGGGCCATCAAGCCCCTTGCAATTTTAGCTGGCCACAGGCCAATTGGGCCAGCAGTTAAATGGACCCCTACGTGTGCATTTGTCAGTTAGTTGACAACTGAACAGTTGCTGGGATTTTGTCAGGGTTAGCAATACATGGATACCATGTGGGGAGTACCATGTGGGGATTCTAGGTTAGTAGTGGTCACCAGCAACCATTGCAGGTCGTAAGAGGCGGCTTAATGGATACGATGGTTAGGCTTGGTGACTTGGTTGATGATGTAGTCATACCCCGTCGGCATGGATCTTTGCTAACAATATCAGTCACTGGATTATCTAATCTAGACTTGATTATTTACAACAAACAAAATTTGAATTACTCACTCCTGGTAACCATATAAGACTATTTTATTATATATTACTCATAAAATGAACTTGAAATGAGTATACAAGAATAATTTAGTCACATATATATATATGTAATGTGTTATATTGTATACACTTTTTTAGAATTGATTAAACATGTTGAGTTATGCTAAAGTGTTAAGAGAACTAAACAGTTTAAACTAAATATCTGACAGAAAGCAATGTTAGTTTAACCATCTTGTAAACTTAAAGGGACTGCCTACATCCTCTTAATTGTTTTGTTGTAGTGGTTGGCGTGACCCTCCCAGGCAGGGAGTCCCGCTTTAATGACAAGTGCTGTGATGACATGGAAGAAATACTCACCGACATTACAAATACAATAACAAGTCAATACATGGACAAGCCATTTATATTGTGGGGACATAGGTAAATATGTTACTGAATACAGTCGTGTGTAGGGTATATATACTACTCAAAAGAAGTTAAGGACACACAATTCTTCATATGACTATAGTTAATCTGTCGTAACTGGTGGGCATTGCAAAACAGCTTTCCAATTGTGGGTGTTCTAACAACGCGTGTGGTCTGATGTTGATTAATAAATAATTTGCATACTCGTATATGCAAGGGGCTGACGTATGGTTCCTGTAGGAAGTGACAACTTGGAGACGATGGCTTGCGGTATATAGAGTTTTACTTTATACATGTAGATATATACATACAAAAGACACTATGTGCCAGGTCAGCACATAGTGGTAGTGGTTATTGTCTAGGTGCCCCGGAGCACCCAGCCTAACCCTAGCTAGGCTAAGGGTAAGACCTTTCATCCCAATCTCTCTCGACCAAGGCTTATATAGCCAAGGTCACCTGACATTTAGTAAGTAATAAATATAAATGTAAACAGTTATTCATCAGCAGGATGACAGACGGTCGATGTACACAAAAATGGGGATTAACAATTAGGATTAGCATCTTATAAATAACAGCAATTAAGTGTTTCACGGCATATAGATGTCATGGCTCCAGGGTAATGAGCCTTTTAAATCAAATGTTATTCAGACAATGGGTGTCGTAAATCAGTTGCTATAACAGTTCTCTAAATTGTTTTGAGTAGTATATGTAGTCATTTTGTATTTATTGATAAAATTCTATTTATATCTGAAAATATAATATTGCTATTTCACTCAAGTGAGGTTACACTTTTTGTAAGAGCTACTCTCCCTGTCTCATGGACAGCATGTTCCCGAGACATGGCAGTTTCCACTGACTTTTAAAGTTAGTTACTACCTTGCCTCGGGTAGATGCATTGACAGTAATTTGTTTGTTTTTTATGTTAGAAAATTCATAACAAATAGACACTTGACTTTTCATGTCAAATTGCAATCTCATCTAGTAGCCTGAAAATTGACATTTTGACCTATGACTGAAAGTATCAACTTTGCCAGGTCATTCAACCATAAACATGTTATTTGACAAGAAAAGAAAACTATACTCTCTGTGTACACATTATAATCTTCAGATACTAATCTGCTCCTCATATTTATAACAGTATGATGATTTTATGTCAGCTTTTTTACCATGCAGATTACTTGTAACACAGGTACAGTTGACATATCACTGCATATTTCTGATGCTGTTTACCTCTCAGTGTTGAATGTATGTATTGCAGGGCCAGATCCAACATTTTTAAAAGGGAGCGGTCCAATAACAAAATCCTATCTCACCTGGGGTGTTGGGGGTGGTGGTGTTGGAGTTGTCTACAACATACTACATTTGGTTTTCAAACAGGGTAGGGGGGTCCGGACCCCCTGGATCCCCTCTGGGTCCGCCTATGTAATGTTTAAAGGTACAAAGAACTATGTAAGGATAAGTATTTATGGATGAACAACTTCTTTATCACAATTAAATTCTTATCCTTACTTAGTACTCCAACTTCTAAATGCCTATCAAAGAAGTTACAAAGAACTATGTCATATATTCACTGGTATATAAAATGTGTATACTTTGTATGTGCAGGTCAAATTGTGTACACAGTGTCATAGTGTATTCATTGTGTATACAGTGTTTATAGTGTATTCCTTGTGTATACAGTGTTTATAGTGTATTCCTTGTGTATACAGTGTTGTACAGTGTTATAATGTATTCATTGTTTGTATGTAGTATACTGATTTGCAGTATATGGAAATGTAGTGATTTTGTGTATACAGTGTTACAGCCAATAGACAGTGGTAAAGTGTTGCATGGTGTATTCTGTGGACAGGCAGTGATCGTTTTTGTCTTATGTAGTGTACATACAGTAATATATACTACTCAATGTTTGACTTTGATAGGGATAATCGAATATGTCAGATATGTTTAAACATATCATTTTTGTGTATCATGGAAAGATAAACATACCCATATACAAAGTGGAGGAGTATGTATGTGTATATATAGGATATTTATGGAACATGCAGATTAGGGAAGTGAATAAAATATTTCGTTTCTGGCTTACAGCCTGGGTAGGGAGGGACAATTTTAATTTTTAATTAATTTTTTTGTAGGTTACTAATCTATTAAACTAGCGCTGATTCTAATTATCACATGATCTTATTTGAAAATGCCCCTTTGCGACTGTATCAAACACACACCCAAGGCCATAGTGAGAGTCAACAGGTTCCTCTGCAAATCTGACACCATCCATTTGACATGGCTTGTACTTGGCCTCTAGTGCAAGAATGCATTTTGACTTGAAAAAGTAATTTCTTAATAGTAATGCATTTACCAAAAAAACTTTTAAGGGCAGTTTAAGGGGTTGTAGAGTCTTTAGAAGCAAGAAATTAATCCAACAAATCTTGTACAGTAACAAAATCAGTTTAGTATAGAATGTTTATATTCCTTTGGTTCACAGTGAACAGAAAGTATGTTTGTTGAAATGGTGGAAATTTATGTATTAACATGACTTTTCGTGGTAGCATGGGCAGTCTATTGGCGTTTGAGCTAGCATGTCGACTAAAGTCCCAGACTGGACAGGAACCAAAGAAGATGTACCTCTCTGGAATATCAGCACCACATGTAAGACTTGTCACAGTTAAACACCCCTGTGAAGATCCGGGGTAGAATTGGTCTTCACAACCCACGCTTGTCTTTAGAGGTAATAACGGGATCGGGTAGTCAGGCTTGCTGACTTGGTTGATGCATGTCATCATATCCCAAGTGCATAGATCGATGCCCATGATGTCAATCAGTGGACTGTCTGGTCCAGACTCTATCAATTAGAGACTGATGTCTTATAGCTGGAGTATTGTTGAATGCGGCATAAAACAAAAAACTTTGTTAAACAAGCAATATGAAACACCAGATAAAGTCAGGATGTTATATGTTAATAGTTTAGTTGTTACCCTTTATACCACAGTATACATTCAAGTATCTGAAGAACGGTAGGGTAGCCTTGTGGTTAAAGTGTTCACTCATCTGGGGTTGATTCCCCACATGGTTACTATGTGTGAAACCCATTTCTTGTGTCCCCTGCTGTAATATTGCTGGAATATTGCTAAAAGTTGCATAAAACTATTCACCAGAGCTACAGATAAGCGGCTTATTTGCATAACATACCCCCCAAAAAATTCAAAATCCAATTACTTTCTATTAACTTGCATACAGAAACGCATGCATTAAATGAAAAACTCAAATGTTTAAAAACAGCACGTGTAAATACCCAATGAAGCTTTTTCAGCATGCGTAACAAAGGAGCTAATTTCCGAAACACAATTACTAGCTAATTTACTTTCCCAGCCAAGCCTATATACATGTATTTAGAACAGTTATATACATCTTAAATTTTTTAATTTTTTTTTTTAATCTTAAAATGTTCACCAATTTTGGGAAAAAAACAATAGAGTGATGAATAGATGAGTGAAAAAATATTGGTTACCCAATGAGAACTGTAATAACCCAATTAAAATAGAAACCCTACAGTAAAAACTCAATTGCTCAAAAAGTTATCTGGAGCTCTGTATACCCACTTTCTCATTCTTGTTGAAGCGAAAAGATGAAGCATGCTGTTATGAAAATAAATATTTTCTAAAGTTTCCTTTTTCCCTGACAGTCTCCCATGAGGAAAAAGGTATACATTGACCGTACCCAGACAGACCAACAGTTCATCGTTGTGATGAGTAGATTAGGTCTGTATGGGCACAAGATGCCATAGAACTGCACAGTTTGTCTTGATACTACAAGGATAGCAATATTGATAGGGTTACAAATTGATGAGGTAAATTCTTGTCTAATCATAAGAGTTACCTCTGTGTTGTGGTGGGTAAAACGTATGTTGTGGAATATAAACAGTGTTGTGCTGGGTAAACTGTTATGGTGGGTAAAATATGTTGTGCTGGGTAAAATGTGTTGTGTTAGGTAAAATGTGTTGTGTTAAGTGAAATGTGTTGTGCTGGGTAAACTGTTGTGCTGTGTAAACTGTATGTTGTGCTGTGTAAACTGTGTGTTGTGTTGGGTAAATTGTGTTGTGCTGGGTAAGCTGTGTGTTGTGCTGGTAAACTGTGTGTTGTGTTAGGTAAACTGTTCTTGGTAAACTGTGCGTTGTGCTGGGTAAACTGTTGTGTAAGGTAAATTGTGTGTTGTATTAGGTAAACTGTTGTACTGGGTTAACAGTGTGTTGTGCTGGTTAATCAGCGTGAGTAGTGCTGGGAAAGTAGCCCTTGTTACTTAAATGTTGTTTGTACCTGCCGCAGGTGGAACACCCAAGGAAGTGCTTGAGAATGAGGAAATGATGAAGATCTTTCTACCTTGCATACGAGCAGATTATACAATGTTAGATGGTTTCACGTAAGTGACTGTGTTCAAACTATATTTATACATTCACTGAGATAATGTTTTTATGTTGTTCTAGTTTGCAAGAAATATAATCAATATATTAAATTAAACTTGTAATTATATGTCATTAATAAAACAATAATGAAGTAATACATTTACTGATGAAGTGTCCTTTGGGATAAAGATGTTATACACCTGTTGATGATCTGTACATTAGGACATTATGCACTGACTGGGACAAAGACTTTAAACACAAACTGATGAAAAGCTGCATTGGATAAACACCTAGTGGAGGACACATGAGCTGTTCAGTGAGATATAGACAATATATGTACACATAGTGATGGACTGTTCAGTGAGATATAGACAATATATGTACACATAGTGATGGACTGTTCAGTGAGATATAGACAATATATGTACACATAGTGATGGACTGTTCAGTGAAATAACGACAATATTGACATACTGATGGACTGTACAGTGACATGACATAAAGACGATATACATATACTGATGAACTGTTCAGAGAGATAAAGAGATATACACATACTAATGGACTGTTCAGTGAGATAAAGATGATATGCACCCACTATTAAACTGTTTAGTGAGATAAAGACAGGATACACATAGTGACAGACTGTTCATTGAGATAAAGACAATATTCATCTTCTGATGAACTGTTCAGTGAGATTAAGACGATATTCATGTTCTAATGAGCTGTTCAGTGAGAAAACGACAATATACACATAGTGATGGACTGTTCAGTGAGATAACGACAACATTGACATACTGATGGACTGTACAGTGACATGACATAAAGACGATATACATATACTGATGAACTGTTCAGAGAGATAAAGAGATATACACATACTAATGGACTGTTCAGTGAGATAAAGATGATATGCACCCACTATTAAACTGTTTAGTGAGATAAAGACAGGATACACATAGTGACAGACTGTTCAGTGAGATAAAGACAATATTCATCTTCTGATGAACTGTTCAGTGAGATTAAGACGATATTCATGTTCTAATGAGCTGTTCAGTGAGAAAACGACAATATACACATAGTGATGGACTGTTCAGTGAGATAACGACAACATTGACATACTGATGGACTGTACAGTGACATGACATAAAGACGATATACATATACTGATGAACTGTTCAGTGAGATAAAGAGATATACACATACTAATGGACTGTTCAGTGAGATAAAGATGATATGCACCCACTATTAAACTGTTTAGTGAGATAAAGACAGGATACACATAGTGACAGACTGTTCAGTGAGATAAAGACAATATTCATCTTCTGATGAACTGTTCAGTGAGATTAAGACGATATTCATGTTCTAATGAGCTGTTCAGTGAGAAAACGACAATATACACATAGTGATGAGCTGTTCAGTGAGAAAACGACAACATTGACATACTGATGGACTGTACAGTGACATGACATAAAGACGATATACATATACTGATGAACTGTTCAGAGAGATAAAGAGATATACACATACTAATGGACTGTTCAGTGAGATAAAGATGATATGCACCCACTATTAAACTGTTTAGTGAGATAAAGACAGGATACACATAGTGACAGACTGTTCAGTGAGATAAAGACAATATTCATCTTCTGATGAACTGTTCAGTGAGATTAAGACGATATTCATGTTCTAATGAGCTGTTCAGTGAGAAAACGACAATATACACATAGTGATGGACTGTTCAGTGAGATAACGACAACATTGACATACTGATGGACTGTACAGTGACATGACATAAAGACGATATACATATACTGATGAACTGTTCAGAGAGATAAAGAGATATACACATACTAATGGACTGTTCAGTGAGATAAAGATGATATGCACGCACTATTAAACTGTTTAGTGAGATAAAGACAGGATACACATAGTGACAGACTGTTCAGTGAGATAAAGACCATATTCATTTTCTGATGAACTGTGCAGTGAGATAAAGACGATATACATCTTCTGATGAGCTGTTCAGTGAGATAAAGACGATATACACATACTAATGAACTGTTCAGTGAGTTAAAGACGATATTCATCTTCTGATGAACTGTTCAGTGAGATAAAGACGATATTCATCTTCTAATGAACTGTTCAGTGATATAATGACGATATTCATCTTCTGTTTAACTGTTCAGTGAGATAAAGACAATATACATCTTCTGATGAACTGTTCAGTGAGATAAAGACGATATTCATCTTCTGATGAACTGTTCAGTGAGATAAAGACGATATACATCTTCTGATGAACTGTTCAGTGAGATAAAGACGATATACACATACTAATGAACTGTTCAGTGAGATAAAGACCATATTCATCTTCTGATGAACTGTTCAGTGAGATAAAGATGATATACATCTTCTGATGAACTGTTCAGTGAGATAAAGACGATATACACATACTAATGAACTGTTTAGTGAGATAAAAGACAATATTCATCTTCTGATGAACTGTTCAGTGATATAAAGACGATATTCATATTCTGATGAACTGTTCAGTGATATAATGACGATATTCATCTTCTGATGAACTGTTCAGTGAGATAAAGACGATATTCATCTTCTGATGAACTGTTCAGTGAGATAAAGACAATATTCATCTTCTGATGAACTGTTCAGTGAGATAAAGATGATATGCATATACTGAACTGTATGGTGAGATATACACGATATACACATACTGATGAACTGTTCAGTGAGATAAAGATGATATACGTATTCTGTAGAACTGTATGATGAGATATACACGATATAACATAGTGACAGACTGTTCAGTGAGATAAAGACCATATTCATCTTCTGATGAACTGTTCAGTGAGATAAAGATGATATACACCTTCTGATGAACTGTTCAGTGAGATAAAGATGATATACACATACTAATGAACTGTCAGTGAGATAAATATCATATACACATACTAATGAACTGTTCAGTGAGATAGAGATGTTGGTATTCAACTGATGAACTGTGACATAATTATTTTCCAGATTCACCAAAAGCGACGGGCTACCACCTTTATCCTGTCCCATTTCTTTCTTTGATGGGGAGGACGATTCTAAACACGACACAGAGGGCAAGCAGTATTTATATTTTTTTAGATGGTTCAGCATTTCTAATTATCGTGTTTTTTCCGATAAGAGAATGATTACTAAGTTTGTCTGTTGATGTTTGTGTAACCATGACAACAGTAGGGATGTATACTGGAACACAATGAAAACCACTATCAACTTTAACTCCAAATCAGAGTGAGTGAGTGATTGAGTATGGTTTTACGCCGCTTTTAGCAATATTCCAGCAATATCATGGCAGAGGACACCAGAAATGGGCTTCACACATTGTACCCATGTCGGGAATCGAACCCGGGTCTTCGGCGTGACGAGCGAACGCTTTAACCACTAGGCTACACGACCGCCCCTTCAAATCAGAAGAGATGTGTTTTGTGTTCAAGTCTATCTCCAAACACATGAATGAGATTTGAACCTATTCCAACTGTTGTGTTTGATTATCGCAGGCCTAAGTACCTAGAACAACTCAATTTAATTACAAACAATCGAATGTGTTTTCAAAGTGTTTCAGTATATATTTAAAGGAAGACTTTCATGTGCATACACATCGTAAACTTTGATATTCAAATAGAGTGAGTGAGTTGGGCTTAACGCCGCTTTTAACATTATAGCAGTTATATCTCGGCGTGCCAGCTTAATGTGGGAGGAAAGCCTGAAGCGATGCAGGTCTCAGAGTTTACCGCTTCGGTGAAACACACGAGCACAGGTATGGTGCTGACAAACCTAGAAACATAATCAGTGCGAACGGGGATTCGAACCCACAATGTTTCTGGCGCCTTGGACGACTGGGCCACCCGTGACCCCCTATTCAAATAGAAAACACAGAAAGTGATCTGAGAATGTGAGAGATGAACCCAATACTCATACACAGGGAAAATACCAAGAATGCCAGGTATTCATTGATCTTCCTTGCACCCATTCGTCTAAGGCACCGAAATTTGATGTAGAGAGTTGCGTCCCTTAGGTGTTCCAGAAACCTGTGTTCGTTTGTCAGCAACATACCCATGGTTGTTGGTTTGAGCAAAGCGGTATTCGTCCTAGCCAATAACTTCATCAATTAGGGCTTTCCTCCCACATAAATCTGACACGCCCTGATCTGACTTCAATACTGCCCAAAGATAGTTTTAACCAAGCTCGCTCACTTACTCAGCAGGGTGGTGGTGTAGCCAAGTGTTTAAATAGTTCGCTCTTCACGCAGAATATCCGAGTTCGTTTCCCAAATGGGTACAACGTGTGAAGCCCATTTCTGTGGTCCGCTGTCGTGATTTTGCTTGAAGATTGCTAAAAGGGGCTTAAGATTATATTCACTCACTCAATGATTTTCCATTTCACTGAAATAATTCGTTAACAAAACGTATCTTTACAGCTTGGAGAAGTTTGACCTCAGGACAATTCTCGCTGACAATGATGCCTGGGGGCCATTTTTATCTCCGAGAACTAAACAATATGCGTGCCATCATCAGTCATATCAGCAGGGACTTTGCGTGAGGAAATGGCATGACAAGAGTTATCTCCCTTACACCGTCCAGCCCGACCATATTTTAGATGAGGAACCGACGCCAGTGTGCCAACAGAATGAAGTTTCCTGTCACTCGATCCCTATAAAGTGTCAGAATGATTTAACTGCTAAGAGGGAGATAAAAATGTATTCGTGACTAACTGGGAAAGATACTAAACCCTATTAAGCATTTTATGAGCAAACAACCTTTTTCTATCTTTACTTCAATCAAGAAACTGTGGCGCTAATAATTGTAGTAACACTAAATATAATTCTCAAGTGATCAAATCAACAATAACCGAAGTTAGTTCCATGCATAGTTACACAGTTACGACATTCGGGGCGTATCGTTGCCATGGGAATACCAGCGGGCCAACATGCCCTGGCAGATCACTGTTCAGCATCAAACGCTGCAACATCATTCATTTTATCACTTCTTTAATAAAGTTACTTTGAGGGACGGTTTATTTATTGGCTTGGCATTTAGTGGCGTTAATATGACGTGATGGCGATAAGATGTAATGCCTTGAAATGTGTGATATTGACACTAACGTCTTTTATGACAACCGCAAGGTGTTTATTTCATTTCCATGCATATTTCAATAATTGGTTTAGTTTGAAATTGTTCATGGGGTCTGTTTGGATAGTTATACGAGTTTACCGTATTTCCTCTGTACAGAGCCATCCTCCATTACGGGGCGAGACTAGAGGTAATGGCTCCCTGGAAATAGGGAGTTACGACGAAGGATCTCTCCCAGTTAAATTCGAATAAAGTTAACTTAAAGCTACATAAAAAAAACCGTCGAGCACATATTTATCAATAAACGAGGAGGTTGGTTGGACTTTTTCGTATTTTTTATTGAGAAAAAAGGTGATAAGGCAGGAATATGTTTTATCCCATCACGAATACCAACTAATGCAATACCAGTTGTCAAGCAGATAACAGGGTCTGCTCTATGTGACACGACCCGCGGAGATCCGGGTAGAATAGGTCTACAGCAACCCATGCTTGCCGTAAAAGGCGACTATGCTTGTCGTAAAAGGCGACTAACGAGATCGGGTGGTCAGGCTCGCTGACTTAGTTTATACATGTCATCGGTCCCAATTGCGTGGATCGATGCTCATGATATTAATTACTGGATTGTCTGGTCCAGGCTCGATTAATTACAGACCGCCGTCATATGGCAGGAATATTGCTGAGTACGCGTTAAACAACAAACCAACCAAACATGTGGCAATAAAGATCACGACTCGCAGGATTTATAGTGTCGCGCCGATACCCGAGACACATTTCCTTTGTTTAAGGCTCATATGCGGTAGTGCTGTGGTCAAATCATTCGCTCGTTACGCAGAAGGCCCTGGTAGAAGCCCTGCAAAGGGACGGTGTGCCCATTTCAGGTGCTTCACCCGTGATATCACAGGAAGCTACAAGCGGCAAAAAAAACAAACTCAATCCAATTTAGGCAGGTCTAAAATAAGTTATGTATATAAGGTCAAGGGCTCTTAATAGGGGAAATTTGACATTTGATTAAAGTGTGGTTTGCCATGCATTCAGATGATGGCTAATGTATTTGCAACAAATTTGATCAGTTGAAAGGGATTTTGAATTATTTACTATAATTGTTTTATTAAGATGTGCTATGCATTCTCAAGAGTCCATTTTCTGTTTGATATACTTTGACTACTTGATATAAATATTTTCGCTGTGGACACTGTATTACTGGGGAGATGTAATTAATAAATCTTATATATCCTGCATTGCGCATTTGTTTTGTAAGAGCCAAGGTGTTTCAGCTCACGAGTACCTCATTCTAATCGTAAGAGTCTACTAAATTGGCATCTGTGACGGCAGGGGACGTTCATTATGCTGTCAGCCACTGGTTTGTCTGCATGGCCTAGACGCAAGTATTCACATACCACGGTTCGTGTTACCCCGTATGGTTTCCTGGTTGGAATAGGTCCCCAGTAACCCATGCTGGTCATAATAGGCGACCAAATGGACCGGGTGGTCAGCGTGGTTCAAAGCGTGTCCTCGTACCCCGACATCGTGGATCGTTTTCAAAATAACGAACACTGGATTGACTGACTCGATTAAATAAAGGCCGCCGTCATATAACTGGGATATTATTTAGTGCGGCGTTAAACAACAAAACCGGTCGTGTTATAACATTCAAATCTAATTAAAATATAATAATCATATTTATATTTCCTTGTTGATGATGTGAACGTTTTGTAACGGCACGCTCATACAATACACTTAACATCATTGCAAGTTAAGTATGACAGAAATATATTTACAGCCCCATGATGCGAGTCCTCTGGGGACTTTAGACCGCTTCCGTGGTCTAGTGGTAGAGCGTCCGCCCGGAGAGCGGAAGGTCCGGGGTTCGATACCCGGCCGCGTCATACCAAAAGACGTTAAAAGATGGTATTTGTTGTTACCCTGTCTGGTGCTCGGCATTAAGGGGCTAAAACAAGGACTGGTCGGCTCGGAGTCAGTATACTGTGTCTGAGTGGGGTATTCATGTTAAACTTCGGCATGGTATCTCAGTGAGCTAGCACTTTAAATCGGCAGTAGTCCGGCCTAGTACAAGCAGCCACACAAACACACACACGTACATGCACGTCGCTATATAAGTGCAATAATCTTGGACGCGACGTTAAACCCCATTTCACCTCACCTCATCTGGGGGACTTTAACACACGTTATGTCCCTGTCCTGGCACGCCTTTCTTTACTAAAACAGTCTTAAGTACACTCAATATTTCAATAAACTAACTCGGGTGTCACATATCAGTATACGTATTGTTTAGAACTGCTAAGCTACAAGAAAATGCTTTACTGAAAGGCAGCATATTTCAAGTTGACACTTTCGAGACGTTCCTTTAAAATACTTCAGGAACGTAAACATCACAGTCGTTACAAGATGTGTATTTCTAGCTGGAGCTATCCTACACAAGTCAACTAAGGTATCGTTACGTTGAATACAGGGGAGAACACTGTCTATGTGAAAATCAGCAATCTCAAGGTTATATCGCAACGGCCTGTAAATAATAATACGGTCTAGCCAAATCACTTGTCAGCAAAAAAACTGTCTGGCCCAGGAAATTAAATGGTTGATGACATGCGCAACGATCGACGCCGTCGGTTACGATGTCACGATCAGCCAGAAAACCCACTGCAACCACCGACCCTATTGCTAGGCTTACAGATACCATGGGTGCTGAGGACCAATTCTACCCCGTATTGGGATTTGTTAACGTTGTGACGTGAGGTGATCATTGTCTGCGCACAGTCATGACACTAGACTAACACTTAGTCAATGAAAACGTCTTTATATATTTTGTTCTTCGAAAGAACCTTTCCTCTTCTGTTTTTTTCATCAAGCAAACTAGACTTCGTTAGTTTGATCTAGACTTGACAAAGCCTTTGGTAAAAAAAATACCTAAAAATGATAAATTCCAGAGTCTTGGTGCAGGACGACCATGATAAAGGTTGGCGAGATGAGAGCAAGACGCCCACATTCTCAGTTGCTACAATGCATATAGGCTTGAATGAAAATGCAAAACATCCTTTTGTTCTGAGTCATTATATTGTTGTGGGATTTGAAAATCGATGACAGTTTGATACCATGTATTAGCAAACCATGAACGCGATAATCACCGCGTTAGTCATTCTCGAAAAAAAACCCAATGTTTTCTTGATGAATGCCTAGAGGCGATGCACATCTCGCGACTAACGCTTTCAAGACGTGGTAGGAATCTCGCGACTAACACAACGAGCATGATGAAGACACGGATGGAAATCCGAGACCGGAGGCTTCAGACTGCGGTAATGGCTTCACAATTACCACAGCAATATAAGAATCATTTTTGTCATTCCACCTGTCACAAGGAGTTTGTAAAATTCATAGAAACAACCAGAATGCAATTGTAGGTGACATTTCTTGTCCTTCTGTGTGGCTTAATTTCTGAGCTGTCTTTTCAGCGGTCCCCATGACGACATTAGTACCCCCCTTTGCCATGGATTGACAGATTCAATCACCCTCGAGGCAGCGAGCATACTTGGGGTGTGCGGGCAAGTCACAAGACCTGATCTTTAGTATGTTCCGCTTATAAATATTTATTTAAGGTTTCAATCAATGGAAAGGTGATTGTAAAACTGCCACTTGGAAAGCCTTTCAGGAAGGATATCGACATGAGATGTTTGCTATGACTGGGCCCCGAGATGAAGGTAGAAGAGATTGTGACGTCACTGATTGGGAAGGGAAAGAACGAGAGGCAATTGGAGGAAATCTTGGGGAAATACGTCTAGATGAAAGTTCGGACAAACAAACTGTCAAAGAGATCGAGGGTGTTGGGAGAGCTTTTGAAGACAAGTGTTTTTGTGAAAGTAGAGGCACTGTCTGGAATCCGAGTCTGGTAACTTCCCACAAGAACATCACTGGAGCCGTATTTATTAAGATTCTTAGAACCTAAAACTTCTAATTTGCCTAATAGACTTAGGAAGGAATTCACTGGCCTTTCTGAACAAGATCTATGTATCTATCTATCATGGCCGTTAGATTATTAATTCCTTTTGTAATTGCTCTGTTGATGTATGACGTCTTGTTCGGCTACCTCCACCCCCCCCCCCCCCGCACACCTAGCGACAACCTAATACACTTGAGTGACGGAGCAGCTCAAGGGCTCCTTAAGTATTGAAGCATACATACCACTGTTGAGACACAATAACTCCTTTCAGTCAGCGCTTCGAGAAACATTTTTCTGAGAGGAGCCAAGCAATTTATTTTGAGCCCACAACATTCAACATGTCTACTGACCGATTTCTTTGTAAAGCACGAAGACACATTTTCCTCGGCATTTTCGGGAACAGATTAACAAATCGTCGCCCCTTTGACCATGAACTTTAAAATTACTAAAAAGTTGATATTGTCAAACTGAAAATGTTCAGGGCTCTCGCCCTTTTGCCCTTTCTGCCAAATGGAATGATTTCTGTTTCGGTGGATAATCTAGACTGGTTATATTCTCGCATTGACAATTTATGTTTAGCCCTCCCCTGAAATGAAGATGTTATCCGACTTCTTACTTTTTAATTGCTCCCTTAATCCACCAACTTTAACACAGGTCAGGAATGAGAGATGCTAATCCTTCCACCACCGTGTTGTTTGTGAGGTATATAATGGGAAAACTTGGCGGGGAAACCTGACGGTTACACGGATGAAGTTGCAACGCAGGCCCAACCACAGGGTAAGGTGTGGAAAGGTAATCCACCATATGGAGACGTTATTACTAATTCCACGTACATGGTTTCCCTTCTTAGCTGATGACTCATTGGAGCATGGGCTCCGACAAACGTCTGTACATATGATTGTGGAAGTGGGGTAAACACGCCCATCGTTGTGGTAAAAAGTGCTGTCTGTTGTTTGGCCAATTCAAAATTCAATTCAAAATAATGGACCATGCTGGTCGCTAGATATGGTGAGGTGAGATGGAATGGGGTTTAACGTCGCATCCAAGATTATTGCACTTATATAGCGACGTGCATGTACGTGTGTGTACTTTTGTGGCTGCTTGTACTAGTTCGGACTGATGCCGATTTATAGTGCTAGCTCACTGAGATACAATACCGCAGTTTAACATGAATACCCCACTCAGACACAGTATACTGACTCCGAGCCGACCAGTCCTTGTTTAGCCCCTTGATGCCGAGCGCCAGACAGGGTAACAACACTTCGGAACCATCTTTTAACGTCTTTTGGTATGACGCGGCCGGGGATGGAACCCCGGACCTTCCGTTCTCCGGGCGGACGCTCTACCAATAGACCACGGAGGCTGTCTCGCTAGATATGCCTTGCAGAGACTTACAACATGACTTAGCTTATGCGGGATGTTCTGTCTTGTCCTCAGAGGTGTTCTCTGAGTCGGATCAGGATGAATTCAGATGCTGAGGTCGGTAAAGTCGTTAGACCTAGTGATTGCCTTTTATAATTATCCACAGTCATGAGGGGAATCAAACCCGGACATTCAACGTGAAGGACTCACGCTATAACCACTTAGCTATCCCATCGCCTTATTTAGACCTTAGTGTGAAGGTTTTCAACGAACACATTCTTGAAGTATTTTAGAAACGACACGGCCTGTGGCATTATCTAATAAATTTCCTTTTAAGAACCAACCAGTGCTTTGAAAAGTCATTTCAGCAAGATCTAACAAAATTTTATCACTTAACAAGTCCTATGAAAGCCTTTAAACACGGTCCGAAAAATGTTTTACAGGACCGTAATAAGAATGTATGTTAAACAATAAGACCCGAAAAAGTCATTACAGTGCTAAAACAAGTATGAAACGACCAGTTCTCCAAAATATAATGGCTCACTATTCTCAAATTATGCCCCATCGTAAACCTAGTTAACAACATCATATATCTTTATAAGTCCGACCGTTTGGAAAGTAAAACTGAAAATGTATTCCGCTTCGAAAAACGAAAACCGGCCACGCACGTCATACTTTCAGTAACGACAAGTAGAACAATGTAAAATATTACGTTTTCAATATGGCCGTATTTTTAGGCCATACTAAAAACATGATTCAGTGAGTATATTTTCGAGAAATTGTTGTCGGGATCATATACAAAAACTGTCCGAATCATTAACCAAGTCGTTCCAAGGGAGTTGTCGAAAGTGCAGTTCATTTATATACATAAACGGGGAAGTCAAAGTCAAAGTTCAAGGTAGGCATGCCTGAAGTAACGCAG